AATCCCGACCTGACAGCAGTCGTGTTTCGTCTCGACCTTGAGAACATTTCAATATTCCCCTGGGGATCGCCAGTAGCACCAGTTCGGTTCGTTCCGTTGTTTCGTACATAGCCGTCGTGGTTGTTATACTTTGAGGTGTACTTCGCTGAGGACCCTGCGAGGATGGCTCTGAACAGGGGCTTGAGACAAGGAATCGAGGCGGCGATGATGGCTGTGCAGATTTCGACCGTTGTCCTACGAATGATTCATTAGCGTGTGCGGCTTTAAATGTGGTAACGGAGACGCGAGGGCTATTTACCAGATTGTGATGTCGGAACTGTCAAAGAGGAAGTCGCCGTGTTTGCCGTAATTGGACAGGAAAGAGATCTTGATGACAGCGGCGACCGTGGCGCTGGATGGTAGGGTAAGCAACAGGCCCTTGATGATGGGACGCAATCAGTCAAGTTGGCTTACAAGACTCCCAGCGACAAGACTCCAATAACTGCGGATTTGACTTTCCAGTTGAGTTGGACTGTCCACAACATTGGGATTGGCAACAAGGCGAACAGTAGATCTGTGAATACCGAGACACCTACACAAGGTACAACTATATGAGCACAATGGAAATGACCGAAAGCGACAGAAGACTTACCCGAGTTGAAGAAGGCAGCAAACTTCAGGTTTGCTGGTGGGATGCATTCGCCACCCTCGATCGAGGTATCCCACGCGTAAGCCAGCGGCCGACATTGAAAGAACACAGTGACTGAGAAGATTAGGATCGACGCTTCCCTGCATTTATATGTTCGAACACCTACAGAAGTTCCCCGTCGCAGATAGAATCGTGAAGACGATGGTTCCCATGATGACGTACCGCATCCGTGTGGAAGGGCTCACCCTCAGCAGAAAGAGCCCAACGCTGACTTTAGCTAGACAAAGAGCAATCAGGCACAGAGGCTGTGTGACAAAGTTGTAGTGCAGCCCGATGACAACATTTTCCTTTGGTTCGATGTACTGGATATGTCGTCCTCCTCCGTACTTGACTTCAGGGAGGATCACCATCATCTCGGCGAAAATGACGACCTAGAAAGAATTAGCTAATCACTTACAAAGTTTTCGAGGTTCGTTGAAGTCATAGTGGCTGAACGTGAAGACCGAAGGAGCGCTGAAAATGGCGAAGCCTTTTTCACGGAAGCAATGCAGCACAGGATACCTTATGGGACTGTACTCACCGTGGCGGCGATGATACACCAATCATCCCACCCAACAAGTCGAACGATACTCGCCCTCACATACATCCTCATCATGACAATAACCACAGAGACACCCACCAGACCCCCGCAGGTCGCGAGGATCTCTGGGCCTCTGTTGATATCCGGCGGAAGATCCGGAGCGTCGGCCATGGCTACGGAGTCTTGAAGCTTGAGTAGAAACGAGGAGGAACTAAGAGCATGCAAGATCGGCGGCGGGCCTCACGTCGACGAGGCACCCAATTCTTTATCTCGGTGTGGCCAAGCCACGCTCGCCTCCTATTACTGCCGCACCATGCCCCGCTGCAGAACGCCGGCACCTGTTCTGCGCCGCCTTGGCGCAGAGAAAAGGGAAATTTTCAACCGACTCTGTAGTGGCAGGTGAATCTGTTGGTGTGGCTCATCCGATGGGATGGATCATGCAGGAACATAACAGAGATGATGCGAAAGTCATCGACAGGGGGCAATGGAACTTGCCATAGACCCCTACATTAACATGCGACCCTCCTTCGTGAGGGACTTGTCCGAATTTGCGACTGCTTTGTTATCCTTTACCATTCAGTCTGTGGCTAGTCAGTTTTCCTCGTTCGACCAACAAGATTTACGAGTCCCCATATTTCATCATCCGTTTTGTCGACATCTACGTATGTCTCATTTTTTGCGTTAACATCCAACGGCTATGGTCCAACCCGCAGCTCATTTTGATCCGCGATCGCGCTTGAATCCTTCAGACATATGTCGAGCTGATTTGAAAAGGTCACTCGCAGGTGACTTACATTCATGCCTAACCAGCTTTTTACATCTAACAATTCTCGCCGAAAATATTTGCCGCATGTTCGTAGCGTCAAGCAATGTTGCCCACCGGGATGTGGGCAATCCTTCAAAACTAGAACCAACACAGACATCAACACGAGTTAAACCTTGCCATTATGCCATCTTACGGCCAAGGTCACGAAGCCCAGACATTGTTCCACTAATGGTGGAGGATTATCAAGGACTCAGGAGTGGGTCTACTTCCACCGTCCATAAAATACAGGGATCTGTCCGGGGAACAAAGATCTGGCGAACAACCGTTTCTCGCAGCAACTCGGCGGCTCGGCAGCGAACAGAGCATCAGTCGGCCAAGACATTCGCTTCTTCGTGGCATTCCGGAGCTTCCGGCATGCGCGTACCTTGTTGGACTCCCTGGAACCGATTCCGCGGGCCAGGGGACCTGCATGCAACCGTTGCGATAGGAGCGTATCTAACCGTCATGGAGGACGGTGTTGGCGCAGGGGGACAGCGTCCTGATTCGCTCTCAAGATCTTATGTGGAAACTCCGCCGGTGAAGCTCACTGTCGGAATCCTTCAGCGAAGGTGGCCCAAGATGCTGGGCGTGCCCAGATGAAGCCAGATTCCTGAGATCAAGGGCCGCTAGGGAGCTGAACTTCCTTTTTGCGAAAGTCGTCCGCTTCGGTGGTATCTCAGACCCTGCCTGCATGCCGGGGGTTCAGCAGCCAACGTTACCAACAACAACTGCCTGCTCTTCTGGTTCGCCGAAAGACACCCTTTTCTTCGGCGTGCGGTACGCCACTTGTGCCACCTGAATACGACTCCACTGCATGCAAGTTGGTGCAGAGCGCCGCAGACGTGCATCGCCTCTTAGCCCAGATAGGCGGCAGAGCAGGCTCGCGACAGGCCATTGAAGAAATTCTGCAGAGATGAAAACCGGCCTCGCCAATTTACCGGCATAAGCTCCGCAGCAGTTGTGCTTGCGGCAGACTTTATTATGTTCCGACCTTCGCCCAGTGACGCGCTGACCTTTCTCTCTTCATCTCTCCTCAAGCTGACTCGCATTCAGACTTGACACGGGCCCGGCCATTAGTTCGTCAAAAGACTCGCCAAATTTGATTGACGATCATTTTTTTCCACAGACAGCCGCCAACCATGAGGATCAGCTCCATCGTCTCTACGGCCATCCTGGCGTCGTCAGCCTGGGGTCTCCCGACGGTCCAGCCCCGCGACGATCTCGCCGCCGACGAGGCCCGGTTCTCCAATCTCACGGAGAGCATCAAGGCTGACGTGCTCAAGTCGCTCGACGAGCGCGAGGAGAAGCTTCGCAAGCGCGGCGAGACGGCCTCCTGCACAGCGAGGAACCTTGTCTTCCGCCGCGAGTAGTAAGTCATGATCCCTCCGCCCCAGCTGCCCAGAGAGTTGCCGAGATGAAGTGACTGACTCGATGCAACACCAGCGGTTCTCTGTCCCAGCAGGAGAGGCTTGCGTACGTCAACGCGGTCAAGTGTCTCCAGCAGTTGCCCGCGCACACGCCGGCGAATGTTTCTGCGGGTGCACGGTCGCGGGTAAGGCCATGAGCCCACTCACACAACCCACTTCACCGGACCGATCCGAGATTGGCTGACTCTTTCTGGCTTGTTGTGATAGTTTGATGACTTTGTTGTCATTCACATTCAGTCGACTCTATTCATTCACTACACGGGTGCGTTTACTCTTCATTAGGGAGTCGACAAGTCCTAATAGTTGCTGACATTTCTGCGCAGGCAACTTCATGCCATGGCATCGCTGGTTCGTCCACCTGTACGAGAAGGCATTGAGGGATGAATGTGGTTACACTGGGTACCAGCCGGTGAGTGTTCATTTAGGAAAGACCCCCACCAAGGATGGGAGAACTGACTCGCAATGACAGTACTGGGATTGGCCGAAGTACGCTTCGGCTCCCGAGAAGTCTCCCATTTTCAACGGAGACCCGTACAGTCTCGGCGGCAACGGAGACTACGTGCCCCATGATGGCCCCGTGATCACACCGCCCGACGGAGTCGGCGGCGGCAACATCCAGCTGCCCGCTGGCGTCGGAGGTGGCTTCGTGACCACCGGTCCTTTCGCAAACATGACTGTCAATCTCGGCCCCGTCGGTGGCCTTGAAGGAACGGCCGCTGGCCCGGATGGCGGTCTCAGCTACAACCCCCGCGGACTGAAGAGAGATGTCGGACCTGCCATGAACCAGAGATACGCCAACTACACCACTGTGCTCAGTATGTGTTACTGGAAAATTGATATTCGATCGATCGACTAACCAACGATAGACCTGCTTCTGAAGCCCAATATTTCCGAGTACCGCCTTCTTTCCGAAGGCGTCCCCTACACAATCGAGATTGGCCCTCACGGAGGCATGCACTACGCGATCAGCGGTGATCCGGGCGCCGACTTGTTCACCTCTCCCGGTGACCCTGCTTTTTGGGTGCACCACGGCATGATGGATCGCATGTGGACCCTGTGGTAAGCTACACGTTAAGCTTAAACCTCGATGCGACATGCCTGATCTGACCTTTTTTCTCCTTCCAGGCAAGCGATCGACCCAGTCAACCGCCACAAGGACCTTAACGGAGGAGACTATGGCCACTTGACCTGGGCCAACGAGCCACCTTCCAACAAGACTCAGCTTACCGATGTTATTGACATGGGATATGCTGGCCCGAACATCCAGATCCAAGATGTGATGGATACGCTGTCCGGCCCGTTCTGCTACTTCTACCTTTGAGGATGCATTTGAATGGTCTAAGAGCCATGCAACTGAGCCGGGCCTTTGAGCAAGGTTGCCATGCCTCTCGATACAAATCTCAACGACCTAGCGTAATGATAATTAAAAAAGTTTGAATACCAACATCTGTATAACGCCTATTAGACGTGTATGATAATAGTGAAAAACAAGGCATTGACAACAATTGCGAAACGCGGCTCAACAAAGAAGTCCCCGGATTTGACGACGCGCTAGCCTTCTTACAGCCACGTCAAAATGAAGGTAGTCAAGCTCAAACTTGCCAAGCCGGGCCTCTGATAGTAATAGAGTCTTTTGGGCCATGTCAAATCAAGGTCCTCTCGATTGCGCATCGAGATGCAGATGCCGATCCGCCGAAACGTCAACTTGTCCAAGCACCGTTTGAGGACAAGGGCCACACTTCGGTCGACAAAGGCCACGAGAAGCTCCTCGTCATGCGAAATCTCTCGCTCCGTGCTGTCGATAGCTACGTCCAGATACAGCTGGCCATCAACGGCTTCGCCGACTGCCAGGTCCCACAAGAAGTCCCCACCGTACTCCTCATCTCTGCGGACGTGAGCTGGAAACGTCAGCGTCTGCAACTTCATCTGTGCTTCGATGGGTGCACTGAAGTCGTCGCCTGGTATCTGGTTTTTAACTTTCAAGTGCTGAATGGAGAACTCTTCCATGGGAGTGCAACTCTCCAAGCGGACCTCTCCCGATATCGATGCCCACAACCACGAAGGGATAAAGTAGCCAGTCAGTCTCTTGGCTTCGTCAGAGCAAGACACCCAGGTGAGTAAATCGCTTGGACTGTTTATCTAGATCCCGGCCGAATACCTGTCTTTTGCGATCCCACCGATCTTCTTCGCAACGGCAGAGATGGCCAGCAACCTGTCCTGCTGCTGTCCGGCCTCCATGACCGAATAGTACTGCAGAAGATCTCTCCAACCAAAGTAAAAGGCCTCTGAATCAGTCACAGTGGTCCATTCTACACCGTAGACCAACTGCCTGACGCTGGAATTATCGAGACTCAGTCTCGAATCTCCAATCCAGCCGTCGCAGAGAGGGTCCGAGTTCTGCTTCAGTGTCTCTGCGCATAGCCACTTGGAGTTGTGTGTCCCAAAGTACAGCACCCTAGGTGAGAGAATGGACTCTTGGAAGCACCAAGCCCGCGTCTCGGTCGGTTCTGGTTCACTGTTCCCCCTGCCAGTCCAGAACACGACAGAACCCAGATCACCGTTCCCACAGACATATGATATCCGGAATCCTCTCTCGCCTGCGATACTCCGGGAATGCAGGAATCCTTCCTCGACCATTTTCGCCCTGGCGGCGGTAATAGTGAAGTGGGCCTGTTCGTAGATGTCGCCCATGCGCGAGATCTCCTGTGCCTTATCATCGTCTGAATCCTGGACAATGCATAAAGCATCTACCCAGAGATGGGATAACCCAAAACTCATAGTGACCGTTATCGCATCCTTGATCGTTTGCGGAAGGCTCTCATAAGGCAGCCCTTCGCGCCATTTGTCTATGTTGGCTTGGCGCAGCTTGACTCTCTGGTCACCTCCCCAGCAGTAGCTCAGGGCTGCATAAGAATGTTGGGCTGGCTGGGACGACTCGACCACTTTGACAGCTAGTTCGGAGTCTACCCTAGATAACGATAGTAAGCGACGAGGCCCTGACCGGAAGTTGGATCCAGCATCGAGCTTGACCCTTGCAGCTTCTGCTTCGATGCAGCTCTGATGTGTGGATGCACATTCATGTGACCAGCGTCGGAGTTTGGGCAAAGCATCCTCTGACAGTGGATTGAGGGAAGGTAGCTTCGTTTTAATTTCTGTGAAAGCAATGTCTCTTGGTACCAAGGAGTAAGCAAATGCTGCTTTCGATGCACCCCGCTGGCTTGCCTAACCCTTCTTCCGCACATACGACAACCTGACGAGAAGGATCTCCACCGTTGACATGATCATCCAGGTCATTGACCCAGTCAAGAACCATGTGAATCTCAGACGGGCCCGTGTAGTACGCACGAAGCCAGCTGTCGTCCCAGGTGTCCGGACGGTGCAGCGTCACGAGCCACGCAAACAGCTCGCAACCAGCCTGGGCCTGCTCAAGCGCCTCACCGTAGGAGATGTTGAATGTCTAGGCCCTGCCGGTGGCATAGTAGTTGTGGTCCGATATCTCTTCCCACCACCCTTGGTCGACATTGTCGACATAGTGCCAAGCGAATAGCAGCCTGTCCTGGCATATCTCGCAGGAGTGTGGCCGAGGTGACTCATCCACGCTGAGTGGCGGCCTGGCGGCGGATGAAGCTGCCATCGTGGGGGATAGATGAAATGGATGTTGTGGTGAAGCAGAGGCCAGCGAATGAGTGCCTTAAATACGGTCAAAAATGTTTGGTCTTTCTGAGGCAGATTGGGCGCCTGTTGCGGCAGATGTAAGCGGGCCAGGGAGGGTGCTAGACACGTGTGCCTGAGCCTCGTGTGGCACAGCGGTTGCGCACACCCGCAGCGCGACAGGCAGCTGTAATAGGTATGTGGGTGAATTGCTCTAGTTATGATAATAAAGTCTACATCAATACACCCTAGAGGTATAGATGAGCAGCAGTATAAGCGATCATATTACTAATATCCTTATTATTACCGTAGAGATAAACCAGCCTCAGCCGTCAGAACTGTACAGCGGTCGATTTCAATCGTGAGTTTTCGAAGATCGTTTTGGATGAAGGACCTCTGGTTCTACTCCGGTGTAAAACGGACTTCACCATGAGGAACGCGTTCAAGACCGCAAAAGGCTCCTCGGAAGCGTGCTCTTTCCAGCCTGGTTTGGGTCCGTCGGAGTCTCGGGGGAACTGGGACCCACATCGCTCCGGCGTTCCCGTCCCGTCCCGGCCGAGCAACGGGATCACAGCGCGTCGGAGCACCACTTACATGCCGATGCGTTGAGTGTGAAGCTTGGTGCGAGTGATCGAGGGTAGAGTAACGTCGAATCTTTTTGCGGTCGATTTCGTGGTTTTGCAGGTGCCCGGAATATCCTTTCAGTGCCCCATATTGGAAATGTCTTGCCGAACGTCCTGTTTGAGTCAGGTGTATGACGGACTTTGCTCTCGCCCGTCTGCACTTCCTCAGAGTTGGTCATTGGCCTCCTCAGATCAGCAAGGTGATCAGGTCTCATGAACAAGTCGTGATCACGATGGAGGTCAATGACCCAGTACTTGCAGACCAAATCAATTGCAGGTCATCCGTGCCGAAGCCTCGGTTTCGCGATACTGCCGAGGCACCGAAGCGCCCGGTCGCATCCTGCGGTCGCCTTGGCGGTTTTCGGACCATCGGCATCGCAGTGTCGGCCCTCACCAAAGCACCGACTCCGGTCATTCCGTCTCGATTATTCCCGGAGTGGGCGGGATCGGCCAGATTGTGGCTGTTTCCGGTTCTGCCATCTGAGGGAGCAACGGGTCGGGAGATGCCAATGTCCGATCAGAGTCCAAGTCTCCCGAGGCTTCGGCAGTTCATGGGCAGTCCGTTCGTTCTAGAATCTAGTTTTTTTTTCACGGCCCATTATCTTTTGTAGGCAGGGGTCCATCAAGGCCGCCAATGCAGGCGGCGTAAACCTTACCGCACTCAGGGCGCGTTTGTTGTTGCAACAATTACTATGCAAACGACGCTAATGTCAAAAACGGATCCTCTATGACGTTTAAGGCGAAGTGCGCGGATGAAAGCGGCTGGATACGATGGATGCGAGGAGCATTTTTTTGATTACTACACGTGATTCCCCCGAGTCAGCGCGACGGGATTTGCAGCTGAGCTTCTCAGGTTCATCCAAACCTTATCGCGCCCGAATAAAACAATCCTCATCGCCCATTGAGCCCGGAAATCCAGCATTGAGGATTCGCATTCCGCTCGGTCTGTGGACCTGAGTTTCAATCCCCATCATGGCTCTTAGTCGAATGAAATCGAATGGACCGGGGCACATCGCGCTGCATGGTGAGAGGTCAGAGACGGCGACATCCGGCAATGTCGGCAACGATGGACGAGTCAAGGTCCGGTTCCACGCCAATCCCCAGAAACTCGCGAAGTGGTATCAGGACTTTCAGGGTGCATTCAAAGCTGGGCCGAATGGGGACGAGAATGAAGAATTGGAGGAGGCTCTGGCGCGACGCCGCACCAGTGTAATCTTGGAAAATCTGAGGAGGGAGCCCCCGCAAAGGAGTCCACGGTTGAACATCGCTATTCATATTGTTGGATCCCGAGGAGACATTCAGCCATTCATCCCAATTGCGCAACTCCTTATGAAACCGCCTTTTGGGCACCGCGTTCGAATATGCACTCACCCCGTCTTCAAGGATTTTGTCGAGTCGAATGGCGTCGAATTTTTCAGCATCGGTGGAGACCCGGAGGCTCTCATGGCCTACATGGTGAAGAACCCGGGGTTGCTGCCCAGCCGTGAGAGTGTCAAGGCAGGCGACATTGGGCAGAGGAGGAAAGAGATGGCGGAGATCATCGACGGGTGCTGGAGGAGTTGCATTGAGGCTGGTGACGGAACGGGGGAGCGTGTCACAGCCGCGACCGTGAAAGACGCCGACGATCTTTTTGTTGCTGACACGATCATCGCCAACCCGCCATCAATGGCTCACATTCACTGTGCTGAGAAGCTAGGTATCCCGTTACACATGGTTTTCACTATGCCCTGGTGCCCGACGCAAGCGTTCCACCACCCTCTTGCGTCGATGAGTTACGGCGAGGCGGACACGAGCGTTGCCAACTATCTGTCTTTCATCATGATGGAGCTTCTCACATGGCAAGGGTTTGTTCCCCGATGTTGTCTTGAGGAATCACACAGTTGACAGTATTATAGATTGGGAGACTTGATCAACAAGTTCCGCACTCAAACGCTTAGCCTCGACCCCATATCCCCTCTATGGGGTTGTCAACTCTTACCCAGACTCCGCGTTCCCTTTACGTTCCTCTGGTCCGAATCGCTCATCCCCAAGCCTGCCGACTGGGACGACCACATCAACATCACGGGCTTCTCTTTCTTATCTCTGGCCGATAAGTACACACCTCCACCGGACCTCACGAAATTCCTCGAAGCTGGGCCGTCACCTATTTACATCGGCTTCGGCTCTATTGTCGTCGATGATCCGAAGGCGCTTACCCAACTCATCTTCGACGCCGTCAAGATCGCAGGAGTACGTGCTATCGTGTCAAAAGGATGGGGTGGTGTCGGCGGCGGCGACAACGTCCCGGACAACATCTATCTCATCGGCAACTGCCCCCATGACTGGCTCTTCAAGCGCGTCTCGGCTGTCGTCCATCACGGAGGGGCCGGAACATCTGCAGCAGGCATCGCAGCTGGTCGTCCCACAGTGGTCGTCCCCTTTTTCGGAGACCAGCCCTTCTGGGGCCAGATGATCGCGAGAGCTGGAGCAGGACCCATGCCGGTGCCCTTCAAGGAGATGACAGCCGAAACACTGGCGGCGAGCATCTCATTTGCTCTGAAGCCAGAGGTGCAGGTTGCGGTGCAGCAGATGGCGGAGCGAATTGGAGCGGAAGACGGCGCTTGCGATACGGCGAAGGACATCCAGGAGCGATTGGTGCTGGATGGTATGCGGTGCGACGTCTGCCCTGACAGACTTGCGACTTGGAGGCATAAGAAGTCTGGTGCGCACCTGAGCAGTTTCGCAGTCGGGTGTCTTGTCGATAAGGGCATGATGAAACCGCACGACGTCAAGCTTCTCAGGCACAAGCATTGGTATGTTGACGAGGGTGCGGAACATCCCCTCATCGGTCTGGTAGCCGCAGTCTCTGGCTTCTTCACTGCCATCGGAATAGCGACATCCGACTACTCTCAGCGTCTGCACGCACATCCTGAAAGGGAAGATCCTCAAGACATAGAGCCTACACCAGACCTGCAGGGGCAGGCGCAGCAGGAAAGGGAGAAGTCCGTTGGCGAAGGTACCGACACCACGAGCGATCAACAAACCGATACTACCGTTACGCAAACCCAGGATGGAAACCTCAAGTGTGTTGTTCGCGAGAACACATTATCGCCCTCCCAGATGAACACAATCGCCCTCAAGATGGCGAGCAAATCTCTCCAAAACGCTGATCCCCACGCCGAGATAGCGATGCTGGAAAAGACGCCAGAAGGCAGGCGGAAGTCGTCGGTCGTCAAGTATCAGAAGCGCCAACGCGGCAGAGCGAAGGAAGTCGCCCGCGCAACAGGCCGTTACGGTCTCGAGGTCGCCAAGGCCGGGCTCAAAGCTCCTGGCGCGGTGTTTTACAACGTCGCAAACGGTTTCCACAACTATCCGTCGTACGGTGCGTTCAGCCACGACGTTCGGAGGCGAGACGAGATCACCGGCTTGGGTAGCGGTCTGCGAACTGCCGGAAAGGAGGCTGCGCTGGGGACGTGGGACGCGTTCCGGGGGATTGTCGTTAGACCATACAAGGGTGCCAAAGAGGGAGGCATCAAGGGCTTTGGCAAAGGTCTGTGGCAGGGTAACCGAGGGTTCACTTGTAACATTTTTGCTGGTAAGTTCAAAACTTCTCTTCTTTCATCGCGAAGAGTTACTAACAAGACCTTCAGCTATATTTGGGTTGCCCGGATACACTCTCAAGGGCATCGAGAAAGAGCTGTCAAAACATCGTCTTACGAAGCTTAAGGCGGAGATACTACTAATTAGATTACGGCAAGGTATTAATGAGTTTAGAAGGTCAACACCCGAGGAAAGAGATGAGGTGGTAAAGCGTTGGAAGAAATTTCGGTCAGGATATCACGCTTAAAGCTGGTTATACCCCATTTTCCTTTGTCGATACATGTACACATACACATACGTTGGAGAGACGCTATTACTGAAGTAATTGTAACTGTATTTTCTCGTCGAGATGCTATTTTAAAAGACGGAACGCCGGACATGATGATATTTCTCACTCAGCAAGATCGTATTGCAAGACGCACAGATGGAACAGAGGATGTCTGCTTCTTACTATCAATAGTTGAAAGGAAAATATTGAAGAGTTACTGCTTGCTTTGCTCGGCAAGAACCAATTTGGCCGGGGTGCGGACCGAAAGTCCATCAAGTTGACTCAATTGAGACAGAAGTTGAGTCACTAGATCGCTGCATGGGCCACTGTATCTGGGGTTCGTAAAATGCGAATCGCTCAGGAACACAGCGCTGATCCCTGCCTCTGAACCTTGCACTGCACTTGCTGTCGGGCACTTCTAAAATTGCCGCCGTATTTGACCTGTTTTGCCGACCGACATCGGCAAGTAGTTTGTTTGGGCTAATGCGTACTTATGGTCGTCGGAAAATGTGTTCGTTGCAAAAGTTTCTGTAGACAATCACGCCATTTTTGAGCGTCTGTGCCATGTCCACCGACCGCAACATGTCGTCCACGGAGTCTCAGGTTCGGCCTGCGAGCCCCGACCCCATCCTCGGGTCCGGCGAAGACCCGGACCAGTCCCGAGTCCAAGTTTCTGTTTACTCCCGATTGAAGCCGCTGCAAAAGCGCATCGTCACCGGGATTGCAGCCGTATGCGGCTTCTTGGCACAAATGTCCACAACAAGCGTCTTGGCTGCCGTTCCTGAGATTGTTTCAACGTTTGAAACATCAGCTACGGTCATCAATATCAGCAACGCCGTGTATTTGACATTTATGGGCTTGTCGGCGTTCATCTGGGGCCCATACGCAGACATTTTCGGGCGCAGACCAGTATGTAAACTCATCACAAAAGGTGCAAAACTCCGTCGCTCAGAAATACTACTTGCAGGCCTACCTGAGCAGTGTCGCACTATTCTTAGTGTTTACGATCGGTACAGCGTTGGCGCCTCAGCTTGAGGTTTTCTTCCTCTTTCGGGCATTGACCGCGTTCCAAGGTACGGCTTTCTTGATTCTTGGAAGCACATGCATTTCCGACATCTACCATCCAGTAAGTACATGCATATGAATGCGTCTGTCTACAGTTGGTTTTCTAACACGAACGTCCCAATAGACTGAACGCGCCACGTCTCTTGGATGGTTTCTTTCTGGAGTAGCATTCGGTCCCGCCTTTGGCCCAGTTCTCGGTGGCATCGTTGTAACTTATACGACATGGCGCGTCATCTTCTGGATTCAGGCGTCGTTTGCACTGCTGGCCTTGCCATTCATCTACTTTGCACTCCCGGAAACCCATCATCAACTCAGGGTGTCGGAGCTGCAAGGTCTTGGTTTCGGGGAGAAGATCTCCAAGCTTTGGAATCGGGGCAACCCTACCAAGGTGGTGAAAGTTTACGGAAACAAGAATCTGCTTCTAGTCGTGAGTATGGCTGACCTCCAAATTACAAATGAGGCACTAAACCATCCAAGTTCCTCGCTTCTTCCTCGCTGGTTTGGAACATGTATGCCCTGCTCACACCAATTCGATACGTCCTTAACCCGTGGTTTGACCTTACAACGCCGCTTCAGTCAGGGCTTTTGTACCTCGTACCAGGTGCCGGTTATCTTGTTGGCTCACAGATAGGCGGTCGATGGGCCGACTGGACTGTCAACAAGTGGATACAGAAGAGAGGCTTCCGTCTCCCGGAAGACAGGCTGCGCAGCTGTCTGATCTTTCTGGCCTTCATGCTCCCTGGATCTATGGTTATGTACGGGTGGACACTGGACAAGCGCATCGGTGGAATCCCATTGCCAGTGGTCTGCATGTTCTTTCAGGGGGTCGCTCAGATGGGAGCTTTCCCAAGCCTGAACTCATACATCTTTGACGTAATTCAACACTCTCAGAGCGGCGGATCTTCGGGTGAGTATCCTCCTTGGCGTATCTGTGAAGAGCCCGGACTGACATTAAAAGCTGGACACTATCTTATGAGGTATCTGATTGCTGGACTATCGACCGCGGTTTGTCTGCCGCTGATTGAGACTATTGGTGTTGGATGGTCGTCTACACTATCAGGCGGCATTCAATTTGTTTGCGCTGGACTCGTGTACCTTACTATCAGACTTGGTGAGACTTGGCGCAAAGGCCATCAGTTGCCTATCCCTCTATTAGGTCGTTATTGGGTCATTATTCCCATCATTAGACTGCGGTTCTGGTGTTGTTATAGGTAGGAGTCTGAAAGTTTTGGACGATCCTATGTACATTTTCTATAAATACTTACAAACCCTACTAAGAACATCGATCGTGAAGAGAAAGACAACACAATGCTCGCCAATCTCATGCATGTACGCGCTAAGTTTACTCGTCACCAGTCGCGAACTCTCCGTTCGCAATCTTGTCGCTCAGAGCCTTGTTCTCCGCAATGTACTGGGCAAGGTCGGTTCGCTTCTCGAGAAGGAGATCGGCAACCAAGCGGCCGAAGACCGTCTCACCGGCGACATTCAGGTGGGTTGAATCGCCAGAAGCAAGGTCGTACTTGTGGCCGTTCTCGTTACCGATAGCATTGACGTAGTTGGTGCTGGCGGTGTTGAGGTCAAGATAGATGGCACCGACGGCTTCAGCAGCCGCGATGGCTCTCTGTCTCTCGGTCTCAAGGTTCTGAATGACCTTGCCGCCGCTGAAGACTCGGCGAGTGAGGGAGGTGATCAAGATCTTGAAATGAAGTCAGTGCCAATTCTTCACGATCGTTCTGTAAACTTACCGGAGTTCCTCCAGCAGCTTTGACTTCGTTCGCAAGTGTTTCGAGGTTGGCTTGGAACTGGTCCGGCGAAATGCCGGCCGCCTCCTTCTGGTCATTGTGACCGAACTGAATGGTCACAATCGGGCTGAATGCATCTTTGTTTGCCTCCACTTCGCCAATCACTGTGTCCCAAATGCCTTGAGCTCTGAAAGAAACGGTCGTAGCGCCACTCTTGCCATAGTTCTTTCCATCAGCCGGTGATTGAACGTAGCGAAGGAAACCATCTCCCCAACCACCGCCAACGGCCACGGTCGAGTCGCCGGTCAGCAAGAAGTAGGGTGGCTTAGTGTCTTGGCGGGCTTGAACCTCGGTGTTTTCGCTGAATGGAGCAGCGGAGACAGAAGTGAGAGCCGTGACCAGGGTTGCAGCGATGCTTTGAAATCTCATTTTGTCGACAGTGGAGATTTCGCTAACTCGAACGCGGGGGTATAAGCTTAAGAGATGGGATGAACGGGAGGAAAAGAAACCACGATGATCAGCCAGGACTTCTAATCACACGATATGAACACAAGGGACGATCAGCCTCTATGTATCCATGGGAAATGAGCGTCAACCCCTTCGAACAAAGTTAAAGTCGCATCTCGGCGGAGACTACGCCGAACGAAGCGATCACGGCAACCCAAGCGCCAATGCCGTGATGTCCCCACGCCATTCCACCAATGGATTTGACACCGTAAATGAAGAATCACTAAACGGGCCAGGGCTTGATTTCTCCCGCGATAACATTCGGGCGGAAACAAGATCTTGTTGTCGTCGATCTTGCCAGATTGGTTTGAATGATCTCGGGCCACGGGAAGCCAGGAGGGGTAGAGTGCGGGGGAGCCCACGTCTGTCATTCGGCCTGTGCCGTGGGCAATTCGGCCGAAATAAGCATGAATTCTCGTGATCCCTGTTCCCGCCGCCACAATGTCGCTCAGGTGCGGCCACATCGCTTGCCGCCCTAAGTGCGCGAGAGAAGCTGGACCAAGGGCTGCTGCAGAAAATTAATAGCACGCACTATTTGTGTCCACTAAACTCGAGCTGTTAACAGATGTAGGCTCTGAAATGCTGAGACGTTATAAGGCTTATAAGGCATTGTTTTGTTGCATCGGTCTGCCTAACATTCCTATCTATCCATTCATCTATCCATTAGCTAGGCGCGATCGTCAGCGGTATCGAACTGCCCAGTCGACGAACTACGACGCAGTCAGGCAACAACCTATCAGCTTGGCGGCCAGAACGCCTATTTGGTGCACCAGAGTGACCAATCCTAACTAATTTCTGTTTTTGTTCTAATGCTAGACACCCTCAGCTGTCCTTATTCACATCTCATGTTAATCAACGATACTAAAAGCGGTGTTAGTGGCTGTCAAAGGATAGACAACCCCAATAAATGCTACAATAGAAGTGCCAACGCTACACCACATACAATGACGGAAGGCATGCAGCTAAGTCGGCACTTTTATTTGTGCCCACAACCTCAGGCTACACAGGTATTCTGAATCCGGCACCGTATGCGGTGATCCTCCGCGTCAACCGAAGCTTCTTCATGACACATAATGGGAATGAGATGTCTGTTCATGCCTGTTGGATCAGTTCGAAAAGACTCTTTGCTGCTACTAGTGTTCTCACACACCTCTGAATCCATTTTCAACGTCTCGATCTGAACATGGCATCGTCTGAAATATACGATTTGATCGTTGTCGGTTCCGGCTTTGCTGGGTGCATGACCGCCCTCAACTTCCTGGAAGAATGCAAGCGCCTGAACAAGAGCAGCCGTGTAGCCCTCGTCGAAGCTGGAAAAGAGGGTGAACGGTCAGGTGCTTCCAAGTGGACCATGGCATACCTTCGACTGGACAAGAACCTGGATTTCGGTAGGTCGACTGGCTCAATCGCTGTGAATGATCAAATTCTGATTGATCTTATCAGATGATCATTGGGTCAAGGAGATGAGACGTGTCAGCAATGGGGCAGCAGACGAAGACTACTGCGAAAAGCTCAGACAGGAGGCTCCCCTTTCAGCACGTTATCTTGAAGACCATGGCGTCAAGTTCGTACATCATGACGAACCAAATGTTCTTCTGGAGTTCAATACAGACCAACACTTTGTCTTTCCGGCGGGCGGTGGTAACGCCATCATTCAAAGCTTGTTAACCCACATCAAAGCATTCGACCAGGCCGATATTCTGTATCAGAATGAGGCTGTTCGCCTTCTGACCACTGATGCGGGATCCGTTCGAGGCTTGAAAGTTCGGAAGACAGACGGCTTGCTCCACGACCTCCTGGCTCCCACGGTCATGCTTGCTTGTGGCGGCTTTGAGGCAAATCAGGAGATGCTAGCCCGATAAATCGGGCGTGATTCGCACAAGCTACCGCTCATTGCGCCAGGTTTGAAGTACAACAAGGGCGCAGGCTTGCGAATGTGTCTCGACGTTGGCGCTGATACTGCCGGATCTTTCGACGGAATGCATTGTGAGCTTGTCGATATTCGGGCCGACAAGCCGGATGCTGTGATCTGGGGTCACAACTACGGCATTCTTGTCAACAACGACTGTGAGCGGTTCTACGACGAAGGTGAACGACATCTCTTTGCCACATTTGAAATTGCGGCCCTCCATACGTGGGAAAACCAGGATATGTCTTGCTATTTTATTACTGACGACATAATCATGCAACGCTTCAAAGGCAGCTGGGTGTATGAAACCACAGACAAGCCACCGGAGAAGTCAGACACGATTGAAGGCTTGGCTGGGAAGCTGAAAATAGATCCGAAGAAACTCAACAAGACAGTCGATGATTTCAATGCGGCTATCAATAACAAGGATTTAGATCTCATGAAGCTCGATGGCAAGGCAACGACTGGCCTCAAACCAAACAAGACCAACTGGGCGAATCCGATCGCAAAGGCACCATTCTATGGTTTCCCTTGCACGCCCAATCTCACCTTCACGTAAGCCAACAAGCCCCAACTACAGCTAAATCATAGCTCACAATCACACAGTTACGGCGGTGTGAAGACTGATCTTCACTCGCGCGTGCTTTCTCACAATGACATACCGATCCCAGGTCTCTATGCAAGCGGAGAGATGACTGGGTTGTTCTACAATGAATACCCACCAGCCACCAGCTGCCTTCGGAGCATGACGTTCGGCCGTCTCGCTGGAACAGAGATTGCACAGAAAATTCAGATGTGAGGATTATTATGTTGTTTCTGTGGCTTTACAGGACCAAGGCGTCGTGAGGCAGGCCGGTGACATCCTGTAAGTCTCCGGTCCGGGCCTATCGATAAGCCACCCAAGTGACATATTCTTACGCCTCTGAAATGATTCATTCGAAGCGAGGTTTCTAAGAAATGGTGAATGTTCCTGGGAGACGATGGGATGCAGACACCTGGAAGCACCGTTGGACCCAAGACCCAAATCCTATTCATGACCCGAACCTAACTTTCCTCTTGTCACATGTGCTTTAGTTGCAGAACATAGTTCAGGGGGTCCCATCGGGTGCTAAATAGCACAAGCAACTTGTAGTCAGTGACCGAGTTAGTTATCAACTCGGTATTAAAATAACATGATGTCCGAGTGCAATAACTAGCACTCTACACTTTGGGAAAAAATCTGGAAAGTCTGGAACTTCTGTGGGTCCGATCTGGTCTTGGCCGCTCAGAACCCGGTGGGATAGTTTGTCGGTCATGATAGTAGTCATTTGCTATATAGTTGACCTTTTTTCGCATCTCTATCCCTCTTACTCGATAAGTTACGAAGAAAAGTTGCCACACTCTCTCTACACTCTTACTTTGAATCTGGTACCTTTCCATTTGTTCCATACTCGAAGCCTTACTCGTCAAAATGGGTTTCGCATTCACTTTTCTTACTTTCTTTATGGCTGTGGCAGTGGCTGCTGCTCCCCATCATGGCGACCTTGTCGCACGCGACTGCCGTACCTTTACCAAAGATAACCGAGTCGCGGTCCTCACTTGCAATATCCCAACAAGCTATGCTACACCTTCCTGTGGAACTGGCCAAACTGCAAGCGTTCAAGCCTACACACAACTCGTCACCAAGCCTGGCGACAACGACACTACCTGCAGGATCACGGTATGTCCCCACCTCGTCTACCTGCGATTGGGCATATCTCACCTGCTTTCCATAGTACCAATGCTGCACCAAGTAATACGCCTGCCAAAGCTTCTCAGAACGGCAGACATGTCCTGTCACCGCATCAGTGCTCAAGTTCCATGAGTCTCCACGGCGTTGATACTTTGAGAGAGGTCGGTCTTCAACGACGGCAAATCCATCGGCAACTGCCATACCAATTTTCTCAGTCTCATCGTCCACCCAGTCTTCAACCTCCTTTTAGACATACAACTTGTTCTTCCTACATACCCCTAAAGTACTTTTTCCATAGTCCATCCATACTCTAGCTTGCTATATCTGTTAGAGAAGTGTGATAGAAAACCGTAAATGTATTTGAATCGGCTTATTCGTCTAGCTACTCAGTGAGAAAAAATGTCTCTACGCTCCGCAAACCATCACCCCTCATCCTCCTTCATGTCCATACGCTACGGGCCACTAAAATGACAGACTCCACTGCCATATGGCATTGTGACTTGCATGCTGAATGTTATGTTGAAACATGGAATTCAGAAGTTGCCTGCGCGTTTTAAAGTTATTAGTAAATGCTTCACAACCCGTCGTGGATGTTTGGCCGCTTAAAGCGGAAGATAAGGCATACCTTACGCAACTCTTACGAGAAATACGGAGAACAAGGCTGTAACTGTTACGACCCGTAAACAAGGATAACAGCTGAACGACCCACTCGGGCGTCGAGCGGCTAGGACAGGACATTTGTACTGCAGAATCACGGGAACAACAGGGACTCACTCGGAGACGGAAGAACTATGATACAAGTCACGTGATGATAAGATAAGACTGAGCAGGCAGTGTGGGTCACTGAGCGCTCAGTCGGAGTTACTGAGCGCTCACCAACAGTCAATGAGCGCTCACTGGTACCTGATGAGGGATCAGTGATAGAGTAAAGGGTACTGTTCAGAACTTGTATATAGTATGACCCTGAGCCTGGCTCATGGTCAGACTTCCATAGCTCTTCAGCAATCAACTTAGTATTCATCCTCACGGATACTCTCAGCTTACCTTCACTGCGAATCACTTATTGAGTCTAAGACTGATCACCTTAGCCTCTGAAGACCCGATCTACTACAGCCTACGAACTACGACCTACGACCACGACCCAGTGTACTGTTAGAACGTATCAATCCCCAGCTTCTGTTAGCAGACCCTACTGTCGGATAGCTGACCGTAACACTTTGATTGCTCCTGTTCAGTAAGTTGACCATTGATTCCTACTAACAGTAACGAACGACAATGTCTTCCCGCGCCTCTGTCAAGTCGCCTACTCCGGGATCCTCGTCCACTTCAGGAGGACGAGCCACCCAAAACCTAGCCCAGGAACTAGGAGACCAGAAGATGAAGGACGACTCAGACAGCGAGGACGACACCGAAGAACTCAAGCGCCAGCTCAACAAGACCAATAGCGACTTCAAGGCAATGCGCGAAATGTTCAACCAGAACGCCGCGGCCCTTAGCGAACTCCAGGAACAAGCCCGCAAAAACCAGGATCTGGAGAAAGAAGTCGCCACCCTCCGAGCTGCCGCCAACGTCATATCCGCCCCAGTCGAAGGACGAGAACGCCTTAAGCTCAACACGCCTTCCACCTTCGACGGGACCCCAGGACAACTCAAAGGACACCTGGTACAAGTTCGAACCTACCAGGCCTTCCACATAAACACCTTCCAGAACGACACCGAACGCGTTGTACACGCAGCCACCTTCCTTCGGGGACGAGCCCTTGCCTGGTTCGAACCCCTTCAACAGGAATGGCTTGACAACCCTGTCGAAAAATACAGCCAAGAAGTCAAGGACATCTTCTTCAGCTTCACGGGCTATGTTAAGGCCCTAGAATCTCTCTTCCTTGACCCCGATGAACGAAGACAGGCCGAGCGAGACCTGTCCCACCTACGACAAACCAAGTCAGCTACGCTCTACGCCGCAGAGTTTAGGCGATTAGCTGCAAGACTCCACATGACCGACGAAAGCAAAGTTTTTGCCTTCTATCAAGGACTCAAGGACGAGGTCAAAGACGAAATGGCCAAACTGGAGACACCCCCTAGCTTCCTCGCTTACGTCGAACATGCTATTAAGGTTGATAATCGCCTCTATGAACGACGAAAGGAACGAGGAGAGAAACGACAAAACCCAAATTCAGGACGCAAGTACCAATGGCAGCCCCAACAGAAGTTCAACAACCAGCGGAATGACAACAGACCCCGCAACAACTGGAATAACACCCGCCAGAGCACTGCCTATGGACAACACAGCGGACCTATGGACCTCAGCATGATGACCAAACCCAACAACAAAAAACCTTGGAACCCCAAGTGCTACAACTGCAACAAGCAAGGCCACATCGCCAAAGACTGCGGACAGCCTAAGAAGCTTCCCTGGAGACCAGTGGCAGAACGACCTCGACAAGTCAACACAATTGCAAAAGCCCCACATGCATCCCAATCGTGGACCGGATGCTACGACGACAACTGCCGAATTCACCTCGAAGACAAAGAAATGTCAGGACACTACCCAAGGGACAGCAACCCTGGACGGTCTGGTTACGATATGACCATCCCGGACACTCGCCCTAGGACCCTGGCAATGATGCATTCCAGCAACAGCAAAGTGGCTAGAAAACCAGTCGAACAACTCAACGAGATGCTACGAATTCAGCGACTAGAACCAATCACCCCCCGCATGACTAGCCAACAACTCCACTATGAAGAACAACAAATCCAGAAGGAAATAAAGCTGATCCAGCAAGAAGACGACAGACAAGTAAGACTATACCAACAACAAGAATCAGAAGAAGAACCAGAACACCAACACGATCCTCTGATGGAACAACAACTCCTCAGTATGACCAACAACTGGACTTTCGGAGAAGGAAGCTCTTCCTATGACTCGGATGAACCTCGCGACGTTGCCCGACAACGCGCTCAGACAGAAATCACCTATGGGTTCACCCCCAGTGTGGACGACTCCAGCTCTGAAGAGGAACCCGACGACCAGGAAGGAAGAATCAATCAACTTCTGAGATACCAAGAAATCGACATGCTTCAAGACAAGCAACAACGCCACTTCTATGGCACCTCAGCAGCCCAACGAGACCGAGGCTACGCCCCTCAGCTACACACGGAAGATCATCCCGCGCTAAGAAGCAACCACCGGCTTCACCGAACCCTCTTCTGGCCCCAGTGCTTCCACGACAAATGCAAGGAACACATAGGAGAAAAACACGATTACCAGTTCTATCCCAGAAGACATGACGACGAGCCTATCCATGAGATCTACTCGACCTCCGTTATGATTGGATGGACTATGGTACTGTTCGAAGACAACCTCGCGGTCTTCAGACCCAGTCCTCAGTTCCCCATGAGATGTCAACATGACGACAGCATGAAATGGGACGAATGCCAACAAGACGAATGCCAAGTTCACTACCAAGAAAAGGCACGAACCTGGAGAATCGCAAAGAACGGACCTAGACCCCCACAAGTCAGGATCCGCGAAAACAGCCTCGCAAAAGCACGGCGAGAAGGAAAGCAAATCACCTACCCAGGACAACCGGATCAGTCAAAAAACTAGACTCGCCTACCGACGACGGATCACGACAGGCAACAGACATAAGATCCATTCATCAAATGTCACAAGGACATAAGGGTAATATCGAACTCGAAGTTACCATCAATCAGCAGATAACACTCGCGCTGATCGACAGCGGAGCCGAAGCAAACTTCATTGCCCCCCGAGCCATCAATAGGCTAGAAATACGATGGGGAGGAAAAGAACGACCATATCAGTTACACACGGCAGAAGGAGAAGAATTCAAGTACGAAGGAGGTACCATCTATAATGAGACTGCGCCCCTCGAGATGAGCTACCTGAATCGAAAAGAAAGAATCCAATTCGACATTGCCGATCTAGGAACATACGACATAGTGCTAGGACTACCCTGGCTACGAACAAGCAACCCACGGATAGATTGGAGCAAAGGCCAACTCCATTGGGACCACGATGATTCAGTCCCTGAGCAGCCCTGTCAGAATCAGGCCTCAAACGAATCAATACGACAAGGAACAGCAAAACGATACCTCTGTTACCTCAAGGCAAAAGAAGCCGTACCACCACCACCAACAACGATGGATCTTGAACAAAAGAACGATCCACTTCTGTCTATCCCAGAAGAATATAGAGTTTACGAGAAACTCTTTGCAGCCGAATTAGAAACCGGACTGCCTGAACACACCAGTTTCGACCACGAAATACCCCTCAAAAAAGGGAAGGAACCACGCTTCAACAAAATCTACGGACTCAACCAGACAGAAATGGAAGCCCTAGACAAATACCTTGAAGAAAATCTGAAGAAGGGATACATCAGACCCTCAACGTCACCAGCAGGAAGCCCAATCCTATTCGTACCCAAAAAGAACGGAAAACTACGATTATGCGTCGACTACCGCATGCTAAACGAAATGACGATCAAGAACCGCTACCCACTACCACTCATCGACGAAATGAGACGACTCCTCCATGGAGCCAACTGGTTCACGGCCCTCGACCTCAAAGGAGCCTATAATCTGATCAGAATGAAGCAAGGAGAAGAATGGAAGACCGCTTTCAGAACACGAAAAGGACATTTCGAGTACCTCGTCATGCCCTTCGGCCTCACCAACGCCCCTGCAACATTCCAAAATATGATCAACCAAGTCTTACGCAAATACGTCGACATCTGCGTAGTAGTCTATCTCGACGACATCCTCATCTTCTCATCAACACTTGAGAAACATAAGGAAGACGTACACCACGTCTTACAAACCCTCCAAGAAGCCAAGCTATTAGTTGAACCTGAGAAAAGCGAATTCCACACACAAAGGGTGGAATACCTCGGATTCACTATCACCCCTGGAAAAGTCTGTATGTCAGAAAACAAAGTCAAAGCCATCAAGGAATGGCCGGTACCCAACAACCTTAAGGAAGTCCAAGGATTTCTAGGTTTCGTCAACTTCTACCGCAAATTCATCAAAGACTATGGCAAGATCAACGCAGCTCTCACAAGCCTCAGCCGCAAAGACACGCCCTTTATATGGGAAGAACCGCAACGAACAGCATTCCAGAAGATCAAGGATCTCATCGCCAGCGAGCCCGTCCTGAGCATTCCAGATCCAACAAAACAGTTCGAAGTAGAACCCGACGCATCCGACTACGCAATAGGAGCACAATTATCTCAACGAGATTCAGAAGGACGACTACACCCGTGTGCCTTCTTCTCTCGCAAGCTCCACGGACCTGAACTCAACTATCAAGTTCACGATAAGGAACTCATGGCAATCATCGAAGCTTTCAAGGAATGGAGACCCGAGCTCTCAGGAACCACACACGAAGTACTTGTGTATTCAGACCACAAAAACCTTTCACACTTCACGACTTCAAAAGTGTTGAATAAACGACAGATTAGATGGTCAGAATTCCTATCAGAATTCAACTTCCGAATCATCCATCGCAAAGGATCAGACAATGGCAGAGCCGACGCTCTTAGCCGACGACCGGACTACAACGTCCCAGTACCTGAAGAAACCCAGGTGATTCTCAAAGGAAACAACGACGGAGACCTAGTGCCAGCAACCAAACTCTTGATGATGGCCGGACGATCTAGTACTAGCCCGCCTAACGAACTAGACGACGAAGCAATTAAGGAGTTCCATGCCCGCCCTGCACACGGTCACCAAGGAATCACGAAAACCTGGAAACGACTACGACAACAATATGGAGAAAAAGTCACCAGAGAACGAGTGGCAAAAGCAATCAAGGATTGTGAGGTTTGCCTCAAAAGCAAACCCGCTCGACATCAACCTTATGGTATGCTACAACCCTTGCCTGTGCCGCAAACCGCCTGGCAATCCATATCCCTCGACTTCATCGTCAAATTACCGAAGTCTCGAGAACCCCTTACGGGAACACACTTTGACAGCGTTCTTGTCATTGTGGACCGACTCACGAAGTACGCCTACTTCATCCCGTACAAAGAAGCAAGTAACGCCGAAGAATGTGCCTACACATTTCTTAAATATATCATCGCCAACCACGGAACGCCCAGAGAAATTATATCAGACAGAGATAAGATCTTCACTTCCAAATTCTGGAAGTCAATCACATCACAACTCGGCATCAAACAATCAATGTCCACTGCATTCCACCCGCAGACCGACGGACAAACAGAACGAATCAACCAAATCCTCGAAACATATCTCCGCGCCTACGTCAACTACAACCAAGACAATTGGGTTGTATTGCTACCAATAGCCCAGTTCGCCTACAACAGCGCAGTAGGGGAAAGTACCAAGGAATCCCCCTTCTACCTCAACTATGGATTCGAACCAACCGCCTATGGAGAACCCCGAACAGGCCCAGCTGCAGTAAAAGCTGTCGCCTCAATACGCCAAATCAAGGATATCCAGGAAAACGCACGCAAAGAACTCGAATTCGTACGACAAAGAATGACAAAATTCAGCAACAAACGAAGGATTGAGGGACCAACCTTAAAAGAGGGAGATAGCGCCTATCTCATACGGCGAAACATCAAGACAAAGCGACCAAACGACAAACTCGACTATAAAAAACTCGGACCTTTCAAAATTTCACGAGTAATTTCACCAGTCAACTACGAACTAGGACTCCCAGAAACCATGAAGTGTCACCCAGTATTCCATGTCTCACTCCTCGAACCAGCACCACGTGGATCACAGACAAACGATATTATCATCGTCGAAGATAACGAACCAGAGTATGAAGTGGAACGAATTGTCGACCATCTCAAAGAACCAGAAGGGTATCGATACCTCGTCAAATGGAAAGGATACGGACACGAAGACAACACATGGGAACCAGCCAAAAACATCACCAACGCAGCAGAAGAACTCACGATCTACTGGCAGCAACACCAAGAACGAGAAGCCACACCAACACCTGTTGCACTGGTCCAAAAGAGCGCTGGATATAAACGAATTAGACACCCACATCGCTTCACCAGACCACACACTGAAACCGATCGACCGCGACAAGGGAAACCGTTTATCCGCCTAGGGACACCAGGAATCAACTAAGGCGCCTCCGATAAAAAGTTTGGAGTGCCCGGATTCCAATCGCCAAGAACGGTATCCAGGTCTATCGCACCAAAAGCGCCCACCGACCGCGCCTCAAGGACCAAGGAAGACTCAACAAGGGAAGGACTCGCTGCCCCCTCCTCTTCAGCCACCACCAAAGTCTCCTTGCGGCCCTTTTTGAACACCATCCGCTTAGCCTTGCGGACACGATCCAGTTTCGCAAGCGCCTCATTCACTTCAGCCTGCGCCTTCTGCAGCACCTCCATTCTCTTTCGAAACAGTTCCTCGGTTTCTTCCTCCTCATCGTCCAAACGCCGAGACTCAACCATCAAACGTTCCACTACACATGAATTAGCATGAACAAAGACACAACGGGCCTCAGGAACTACACGAACATTGACAGATCGCATCGTCGGAAGCATTGCACGAGCGACGAGTGCCACCCACGGCGACACACTCCCCGCAAACCAAGGAACCAGGCAGCATTTTACAGCGCAACCCCTTGGACCGACAGCGACGACAAGGCATGACTTCGAACCCGTTCTCCGCAATGTTAAAGGAACGACGATAACGACGAAGAGTAGAAATCGCAGGATTTTCAGGAACGCGACCTGACATGGTGTCAGCATCATGGGTAAATCAGGAAGCACGATTGACGGATCCCCAACCTGGGACCAACGACCTACTTATGTTGGGTCTTGAGGACAAGACCTTTGGAGAGGGGACCTGATGTTACGACCCGTAAACAAGGATAACAGCTGAACGACCCACTCGGGCGTCGAGCGGCTAGGACAGGACATTTGTACTGCAGAATCACGGGAACAACAGGGACTCACTCGGAGACGGAAGAACTATGATACAAGTCACGTGATGATAAGATAAGACTGAGCAGGCAGTGTGGGTCACTGAGCGCTCAGTCGGAGTTACTGAGCGCTCACCAACAGTCAATGAGCGCTCACTGGTACCTGATGAGGGATCAGTGATAGAGTAAAGGGTACTGTTCAGAACTTGTATATAGTATGACCCTGAGCCTGGCTCATGGTCAGACTTCCATAGCTCTTCAGCAATCAACTTAGTATTCATCCTCACGGATACTCTCAGCTTACCTTCACTGCGAATCACTTATTGAGTCTAAGACTGATCACCTTAGCCTCTGAAGACCCGATCTACTACAGCCTACGAACTACGACCTACGACCACGACCCAGTGTACTGTTAGAACGTATCAATCCCCAGCTTCTGTTAGCAGACCCTACTGTCGGATAGCTGACCGTAACAGTAACCAGTGCCTCATCCAAAGACTGAGACTATTGTGATTGCAGTACGACATCCAATTCCATAACATTTCACTCCGTCATGGTGTAGGCTGACCAATTGACATGGGGGACACGGCTATCTGATGATTTTACATCCGATGCCATGGGAAAGTATCTTTTCATGGTAGAGTCGCGGCTGATTGTATAGCTGGCACATGCTCAGACGTTGGCGACTTCGGTTTTAATGATAGCCACGGGTTGATTTTACAGTCTGAAACTCGAGCCAAATTTCACAGCACAAACGAGTCTTCTTAGCTCCATTGTGTTCTTATCCTTCTCCTTCCCCTTGCGAGTTATGGAAACATTGCCACCCGGTGAACATGTGCCTCGCCAAAGCCGTCAAGCCCGCAGCCCGTACCCACGTGCCGGTGGGATCCAACTGTAGACTATCTTCACTTTGAAAGCTCATATCCGCAAGCCAAGTTCCGGTGGGATGCTGGTGCGCTTTGTCCCGCCAGAAAACGAAACACTCCTTCATGTCCTCTCCGACAACTACAGTCACCATGGCCGAGTCGGTCACCACTTCAACACTACGAGGCTGTAGCCAAAGAGCGTTAGTGATTCGGCCTAAGTAGGAGGACACCCTCGGGCTTTGAGGCCCATAACTCCGAATCTTCAATTTCGTATGTTGAGGCAAGCTAGACCGCGTCAGTCAACTCACCATGTCTACTGGAGCCATCGTTATTCCTTCGTTGCTAGTCTGTCAGAAGCTTGCGCTTCAGATGTCAAATAATTTAGATGCCAGTGGTTATCGGAGAGAGTCTAATGTTGAGTCTATCGTGAGGATGCCTTACCAGAAACTTTTCTCCATTCGCGATTCGATATGCATTTGTGTCGAGTCCTACTGACAGTGTTCTGTTAACATATCTGCTCCCCACTGAGACAAGGAAGAATGGAAGTCCCGGCCCTTTGTGGTCCTATTACCATGCGCTTTCCACTTGGCGCCTCTTGTCCCAAGTTGACCGTCACCAGTAAGATAATGTGTTAGAGTTCAGGCCGTGTTTCTGAATTCTATCCCAGCCACGGCACGGGTTGTGGGGAAATCGGACTTCCAGTCTCCACATGGTCTGATCTGAGCAATCCGACTACGGATACTTGTCTTCCCTTGAACCATTGCCAGTGAAAGCAACCTCTTGTTAACCTAAGCCATCATCTTTGGAACAGAATTTCGACCTTAAAATCACTTGTTTCCCTTACAACCATATGAAGTAAGGTCCATCCGCATCATCAGAGCCTAGCGGCGGTAACAGGAGATCATGATAGTCTATAAAAGCCAAAGACAAGGACGTGATTCATGAATCATGAGCGTTGGGGGGCAATTAATATATCAAAAGGGGGCTGGCCTTGGTAGACGAGCTGCTTCAATCTGATCTGGGTCGCAATGAACATGTGCTTCTCCGATCTCAAACCATAGTCTCTCTGCATGTCAGAACTCTATTGCCTCAACGTGGATCATACTATCAAGCCGGGAGCTATGGCCCGAGTAGAAGGTTTCTATGAGGCATGCCATGAAAAGGAACAGCTATAAAGCAGCAATTGTTATCCCTCTTTTCAAGACTGCCTGGTAACTCACCATTCATCACGCATCAGATCAACCTCCTGCAGCTCACGAAACCTACATACTCATCGACTTCATCAACTCGACCTCAGTAATCGCCGTCAAGATGTACTTCTCCAAGCAGATCCTTACTGCGGTTACCGCCCTCCTGCTCGCCAGCGCTGGTGTTCAGGCTGATTGCACGACTGAGAGCCCCGGAACTCAGGGCTTCTATGGCGGCAAGTGCAACTCCGACAAGGTTTTCTGCGGCTACGCGCCCTCTGGTGGCTACAGCATCACTTGCTGCGATACCAAGGCCTGCGAGTAGAAAGATTAGTTGCCACGAAGTGAAGCAACCGGTAAGCCAACAGCCCCACCTTGTCATTCCTGCGCAGCAACTCATATTCATCGTCCAGACATGATGATTTCAGGAAGGCAGAAATGAGTTAGGTGGAGAAGAACGACGCTCAGGGACGCCGCGCGACGGGCGACACAGCCGGACGACGACGGAGTTTAGGATATCAATTTCATGTCTCTCATGCAGCGCTTAACTTTAAAATTCATAGCATCCAGCCAAGATTTGGAATTTTTCACCGCGCAAATAGAACAAAATTCCTGCTACCCGTGATGGTGACCTTCCGCATGTCCCTCAGGCGGGAACGGTTGCTCTGCACCCTCGAGATTCGGATCCCACGCCGGATTCGCACCGGCATCCCGCCAACGTACCGATCTAGGACCGTGTTTGTTCCAATCCAATATCGCGTCAAAGTCTCTGCAAGTGTGCATAGATGACCAGTTGGGCAGCGCGTCTCTGCGCAGGGGATTGCTGAGCGGGTCCACAAATAGGGCCGGGGTGACGTCCGCGTAGCACATAAGGTTCATCCGGAGCATATCGATGCAGTGGTCTGAGTTGACGATGCAAAAGTCAATTTGGAGCTTATTTTCGTTAAGCTTTGATGATGCAATATGAAACTTACCATAGTGAGTATAGATATTCTCGTCGGGAACACCTTCGTCAAGGAACTTATAATGCTCATAGTTGTAGAATAAGCCCATCCGCAGTGAATTCTGAGAGTCGTGTCAGGCACAGGTCATCTTGACGCAAGCAACAGGTGATAAACTGACCAAGCAGTGCAGCAGATGAAAGACCTCGAGCATGGCCAGGTAACCCCCGCCTTGTTCTTCGGGAATCTTGTGGAAGGGAAGTTCTGCTGAGTCTGTCATGTTCAACAAATTGACTTCCTCCTCAGAGACCCAGATCCCACCCGCTCCCAATTCGATCTCATGCCAGGCGACATCGACAGCGTTGGAATGATTCCCAGGCGGACCTCGCCACTTGTTCGTTTGCCTGAACTCTGCATTGTAGTGCTCTGGCGTCTTGTACTTGATCGCCTCAAGAGCCGGTGCTGTAGCAATCGTCAGTGAAAGTACTCTGTGATCTTGTTTATTGCTTAAACTCACATGGCGTGGAAAGTCTCTGTGTGCATCCCTTTGTCGAAGTGGTCGGCTCTCCCGTCCAGATAGCATAGATAAGCGCAATGAGCGTCACCGAGTTGGTGGTGATGAGAAGGATATTCGATTGTGGCCATCGGTGATTGAACCATCTTGAGCGCCTAGAAGGTGCACCAGCCTCTTTGCCCTCTGCTTGAGGGAGGCTTTCATATCTCAAACCAAATTTCCACCACATGGCGATACTCAGGATTGTGGCTGATTTCTGGTTGATCCAAGGTAAAAGAACAGAAATGTCCCAAGAATCTCAAAATTTTAGCATGGTAAAGGCAAGCTGGGACAAGCATTGCGTTGTGGTCTTCAAAGCTGTGCTCGTTTCTCGGGCTACCAGCCTTCTATCGGAAGAAAGATCCGGCAAGTAAGATGCCCGCATGATGACTTGGTGGGCCGATGCGCTATGCTTATACAAAATGCTGTAGCCTATTCCTTCGCCCATCGAGCTTCTTGATTCGGCCTAGTACTTGCATGGGTGCCACTTCAAAAAGCCCCAGCAGCTCTTCGTGGATCTCTTCCCGAAAAGCTTCGCGGCTGATGTTGACCATTCAGGACGGCAGGATTCGAGTGTCCCCATCGAGGGCGTTTTATATCTGGTCGTGAAAGTCCGAAAAGGATGCAAGCGCAGCCCCGCCACCGAGGGATTGGGTTCCTAGAACACGGCCAAAGATGGTCTGTCGTACTTTCGAAACAAACGGGAACCCAATCTCAACCTATGTTCTACCAATCATCTGAAGAACAACACATAGGGGGTCAAGGTTTATGTTACATCGCAGAAGCTAAAGGAAGTATTCAACAGTCTAGATCATCAAATGTCATGAGCTAGCTTGTTCGCCTTCCTGTCTAGGACATACGACTCGGCACTGTGACGAGGAACCGGTCGTGCAAGAAAGATCACGCCCCATCTGGCTTGTCATCCCAGAAGGATGCGATAAGACCGACTGCTGTAACGTACTAGTCCCGTCGAAGATGTGAGCGCCCTCAGGCCTTACTCCTCCCATAAAGACCCGCCTGCAATCTCGTAGCCCCAAGCCTTCATCTCAGTTCCCTCAAGTTGCTCTCCACCAACTCGTCCAAAATGCACTTCTCCGTCCTCACCGTCGTGGCCCTCCAGGCTCTCGGCGCCATCGCCGCTCCCGTCGCCGCCGACTACGCCGACCTCGCCAAGGACTCCATCGTCATCAAGTCGGCCGGCACATACAAGCGCGGCGAAGCGTACGCCGACTTGGCCAAGGATTCGATCGTCATCAAGTCGGCCGGCACATACAAGAGGGGCGAGGAGAAGCGCGAGGCCGACAACGAGCAGCTGGCGAAGGACAGTATTGTCATCAAATCCGCCGGTACATACAAGCGTGGCGAGGACTACGCCGATTTGGCGAAGGACTCTATTGTTATCAAGTCTGCTGGAACTTACAAGCGCGGCGAGGAGGTAAGTCACCAGTTGCGGCTTTGAGAAAGGAAACTAGTCCTGACTCCAGACTCTTTAGTACGCCGATCTTGCCAAGGACTCCATTGTCATCAAGTCGGCTGGTACCTACAAGCGTGACGAAGAGAAGAGGGACGCGGAGTATGCCGAGATTGCCAAGGCCAACATCATCATCAAGTCTGCGGGCACCTACTAAAAGATCATGTACGCATAGGCTAGCTGAAGCATGAGGCCATGAATTGGACAATACATTTGTGAACACGATGGAATTGACTTGATGTGTTTCGTAGTCGTCTCTTGGGATGTCGTTCAGTCAAGGTGACAAAGGCCCCTTACTTCCTGCAGCCCAGCCGGCCGGAGTCCTTGGCGCCCGTTGGCACAAGTCTTGGCAACACACTCAACATCCATCAGCCAGGCTGTTGGAAACGCCAGCGCGAATACCAAGACTCTTGGTTACCCATCTGATGCTACGTATATCTACTCTGGGAAGATGGAAAGCGCCTTCACCGGCCACTGATGCTTTCGCTCATACTCCACCACGAAAGACCACTCACCTGACCCGACAACCTCGACTTTTGGTCCATCCTTGCAAGGCAACACCACTTCCATCTCTGTCAATGGAGGAACAACAACTTGAACCTTCAGCTCCGAAGGAGTAGTATCGCTGCCAGTCAGCTCCCACTTGCAGGAGACCTTGCCATATGGAGTGAGATGCTCAGCCGCCGCATGCGTGAACTCGCCGCCGAGCACTGGCTCAGCCCTTGACCTCTTCCAACCAGGACCCAGTCGTTTCAAACCAGCCAACCGCTCAACCATGAACTTGGCCACAGCACCAAACGCGTAGTGATTGAACGATGTCATGTCGCCGGGGTTGATCGAGCCGTCGGGCAGCATGCTGTCCCAGCGCTCCCAGACCGTCGTAGCCTCCATCTTGACGGGATACAGCCATGAAGGGCACGTTTCGTTCAGCAGCATCGCGTACGCCACGTCGCTGTGTCCCGTCTGCGTGAGTGCTTCGCAGATATACGGCGTGCCAGCAAAGCCTGTGCCGATTCTGAAGCTGTTGCGGCGGACGATCTCCGAAAGACGGTCGCCTGCGCGCTGGGTCTGCTTTGGAGAGAGAAGGTCGAAGGCGATTGCGAGGGCGTAAGCTGTCTGAGAGTCGGAGGTCAGGCGTCCGTTGGCGCTGACGTACTCATCAAGGAATTCTCGTCGGGCTGCGGCAGATTCTTTGCGGTAGTGCTCTGCGTCTTCGTTCTTTTCAAGAATGGTTGCGACTTGGATGAGCAAGTCTAGTGAACGGATGAGGAATGCGTTGGCGACGAGAGGAGGATCAGTGACTGCCTTCATCGGCTCGTCGGGGGGTGCGTTCGGGTCCAGCCAGTCCTAGGGATGTTAGTCTTTTCTTTGTCAATGGCAGTACTGACACCTGCGACTTACTCCAAGTTGGAACAATCCAAAATCCCAAAGATGAACTGGTCCACTTTTGTTCCTTGGAATCTTTTGAATCCACGTTGTCATGGATTCATACTGGTCCCGAAGAATGCTTGTATTACCCGTCTCTTCATAAAGGGCCCATGGCGCGAGGACGACAACATCATGCCAGATGGCGTTGGCTCCAATTTTGCCCCAGTTCTGATGGCCCTTGAGGACATTCGGAGATACCATAGGTGGGATCCCCTCCAGCTCCTTTTGATCAAAGGCGACATCTGCCAGCCAGTTCTTCAGGATGCCGAAGCAGTCGTAGAGGTAGGTAGCAGTGGGCGCAAAGAGCGCGAGGTCTCCCGTCCATCCCAGCCGCTCATCTCTTTGAGGGCAGTCGGTAGGCACAGACAGAAAGTTGCCCCTCATGGACCAGCGGACATTACTGAAGAGCTGATTCAGCCGCCTATCTGAACAGGAAAAGGTGCCTGCTTCTTGCATGTCCGTATGACAGACGACAACTTTAAGCGCTCCTCTGCAGGGGTTGAGATACCCCGGCCAGCCGTCAATCTGAAGGTAGCGGAAGCCGTGGAAGCTGAAGCGCGGTTCCCAGCTCTCACCCTCCGGATCGCCCTTGAAGGTGTAAACATCCGTTGCTTGACAATCACGCAGAGGCCTGGTGCCGAGCTCTCTGTTTTCGAGGACTTCTGCATGACGGAAGGTGAGCTGGTGGCCGCGCTCGGCCTCGACATTCTTGAATCGGACATATCCAACAAGGTTCTGGCCAAAATCAAGGATGATTTTGCCTGATGGTGTCGTGATCAGTTCTTTGGGCATCCAGGATTCCATGCGCCGAACTGGCTCTCCAAATCCCGCTATGAGGTCCACGTTACTGGGCAATTCAGGCAGAACCTCTACCGGTGACCAGTCGCCGCTCGTCGATGTGGTAGACCAGCCGGCAACTTCTGCAGTGGCGTCGTACTTCTCTCCGTCATAGATCTCGGCAAGCTTTGTCGGGCCACGGGTAACCTTCCAAGTATCGTCTGTGATGATGGTGTCTGATCTCCCGTCCTCGTAGGTGATCTCGAGCTGGGCGAGAACGGCAGTTCTTGTGCCCCAAATGCTGCGACGGCCTCCTTCGAAGCCGATGCGGCCGTTGAACCAGCCCTCGACTACGCGGATTCCAATGCAGTTGGACGAAGAGGAGATGTGCTCTGCGACATCGTAAGTCTGATATTGCAGTCGGCCATCATAGCTCGTCCAGCCGGGTGCAAGGAAGTAGTCTCCGACCCTCCTCCCGTTGATCTCGGCCTCGTAGATGCCCTGGGCAGTCACATAGAGCCGTGCAGACTGCACACGGCCCTCAGACTTGAACTCCCTTCTGAACAAGTCCTCGGGCTGCGGAGCGTTCTTGCCGTCTTCCGACCATGGTGCCGAGATCAGCTTGCTGCTCCAGTCGCTTCGATTCAGCAGGCCGGTCTCGAATACGTAGGGCTTACTCCATGGCGACAGCTCCGTTTGATCCGCACCGCGAGCGCGCACCTCTACGGAGTACTTCTCGCGAGACCCGATGGCCTCACTCACCGGCCACGGGACGTCTTGGGTGTTTGTGTCATTGCCGGAAAACTCGCCGAGGACGGTGGGGCCGGAGCTTGAGAGACGCGAGATCCGGATGATCCGCTCGCCGGGGGTGAAGTTTGGGGGCGCGTCACTGTACCGCCATGAGATGCGAGGTCTTTCGACGTGGATTCCCAACGTGTTGTTCGGTCGATAATGGTCAACGCGAACATCGATAACTTTGAGGTTCGCCATCGTCACTTAGAATCCGATGGTTCTAGTACATGTAGGTAGCTATGTGAACCACCCGAACGTAGCTGTCGAGGAGTTGAAAGGGGGACTTGTTCGTTTTACACTTCGTCTGACCCCTCTATTGACAAGAGCGTAACGCCACATTTCAATCTCCATCGGTGTGAAGTTTACACGACCGGACCAAAAGAGCCCGAGATGGTGTTTGAGATGAGTCTGGTGATGGTACAAGTGGAGATACATTTGTGCGTGGTGATCCAAGATGGATCCCGGCAGAGAGGGGAAGACCCAGAGGACTCGTCTCCAACCAATGAAGTGGTCCATCATAGCCGGAGTAATGCCATCGTCTTTTGACCGGAAGAGAGAAGCCAATCAACAAATCGTTAGTTCCGGAGAATGGCCGGCGTTTAGCCCGGTTCTCGACTCTCTTGTGGTATGAAGATTGCATTGCAATGGCTGCACGGAGCGCCGGAAGGTCTAGATCATCAACATCCCAGTCATTACGTACCAGGCAGACATTTCGGCCCCAGCTATGGTCTCAATTATTCTTGTTGACCTTGCAGTGATGCCCTTTTAAGTTTGATAAGTCGAGGGTGGTCTCTTGCGGCCGACCTCTTGCCGTCGCCTATCCTGTCGTCGACTGCCCTTTTCCGTCGGAACATCTCAAGCCCATCCTTTCTTGTCGTGGGCCTGGAATAGGCAGCGGGCAGCGACAGCTCCATGAACTCTGCATGCGCATCATCCCCCAAAATCCATTCCATGCCGCGCTTTCTCAGGCAGCGTAGCTCATCCTCGATGATTCGTTCCCGCCCGATCCGGTAGGCTTCGTCGCGTGAAACCACCGGCGATTTGCCTTCTTCCATGAGTCTGATGACCACGGCCGGCTCCGACTCCGACCCCGTGCGGTTGAGGATATCGGCATCGTCCAACCAGTGGGACAGCAAACTTCCGGATCCCGCATGCGCGCCCCATGGGTTGATCTCAATCAAGCCGACGACGGAGTCGGGGCTCTTATCTCCGCGTAAACATCCAGTACACACGAGTCGAATCTCAGTGAAGGAGCCATCTCGGCCCACAATCGACGAACTTGCATCGCGAGAGATCGGAGCGCATCGTCCGTGATTGCTGGATGGTTGCACTGGTAGAACTTGCTCTGAATGATTGCGACTACCCTGGTTTTGTCGATGAAGCATCGCCATTCGCTGAGGCGATCGACGTCGGCGTGGTATGGGAAGAAGAAGAGCTGGGGATCGGGAATCTCATCAGCGTGCTGATACTCGTAGTATAGATTCAGGAGGACTTGAACTGTTCGCTCCGATGACACGAGCTTGACGAGGGCGTCTTTGATCGTAAACACAGGCCGCAGCGTTCCTGCATCGGCATCTTTGGGGCTGCAGTGGCTCATGCGAACAAAGTACCCTTGGGCGGAGTTCTTGCCGAAGCCGTCTATATCCGCATTAATGCTGCCGGCAAGAGACTGGAGTTTCTCGCCCTTTCTTGCTTTCGACATGTCGTACTGCACTTCTGAAGCAACCTCGAGTAGTGCAACGACTTCTGTCTTAGACAGTCGGTGGACAGCAAATGGCGGATGCAGCATGTGTCGCTGGATTGCCGGCGACAGCCACTGCCCCATATTGCAAGGCGCGATCTCCTTCTCTCTACTGTGAAGAAACAAGGGCGTCAGATAGCCTGTTCCCTTAAGCCATGGTGCCAAGGCGTGGTGATTGTAGGAGCTCAATGGGGCGGCAGGTGATGTCCATGTCAAGTGGACGACGCTCAATGATGACATCACTTTCTCTCGAGGCTGCCATCTTGAACTTGGACTGGCAAGCGCGATGCCTATGGGTTTTGATGTGCGGGTAGAACAGCTGCCTCTTTGTTTCCCTTCTTTTAGTAGTACTTGGCAAGCACTTCCGTTGCCTTCGTGGTACCTTCGCTGATGAGTCACGCCGACTAATTATCCCGCGACAGAAGGATCATGTCAAGATCCTTCCCAGCCTTCCTTTTCTTCTCCGACATCTGACCTTCAGGCATGCACGGCTGCTGACCACCTTCTGGCACGCCGTTTCGGGCTTGCGCATCATGGCAATGGGGGCAGTGGAGGCAGTCACATTTGCGCACCACAGCGAAACCTCCATAACCGAATCCCGCCAAACCTTCTGGGTACCCAAAGAGGCGAGCACGATCTTGCCCACGCATTCAAAAATGACTTTCCATATCAAAATGAAGCCACGATGGGAGTGGAAAGAGCCGCGGATAAGGTACTGCTGGAGCATCGCGTTGTCCACTGTCCTCGACAGACCTCGTCCCACAACAACCTCCTTTCTCCAACCACGCATCTTCAATCATCGTCTCATTCATCCATAACGACTGTCATACGCCTATCGCTAGCCACTATCGCTACAATCATCATGCCGACCCTTCGCTTTTCTTTACAACTAGACGAGTACAAGCCAGCTCCCGACGCCACCGCCGAGCCTCGCCCAACTGACGTCGCCGCTGAATGCAAGCCGACCTGGGCCCTTCACGAGTATCTGGAAACTGCATTCTTCAGTACATCGACACCGGAGAAATGGCAGGACGATGAAGATACCGACGAGAAAGCCTGCGCTGCTTGCAACAAATTCACAGTCCCCCGCAAGTTCAACCGCTGCTCAACTTGCAAGACTACCTACTGTGACGAAGTGTGCCGGTATGATGTTCCCACTGAACACGAACAAATTTGCTCGAGATTTGCCGAATTCAGCAAGACGCAACGGCCCTCAGAACACCATTACCGCGCGTTGTTTCTTCCCTGCACCGACGAGCCTCAATTCGTCTGGCTCAAAGTCACATTTGACGATTCCATCGGGAAACTCCACATCGAAACAGACCGCCAAGAAGCATTCGACTATGTCAAGGAAATGAAGCTCCCCGCCGCCTCGTGGACTTTCAACAATGAATGGAGGCAACCCATTACTCCTTACGGAGTCGACCTAATCACTTTCAACGCCAACGAAAACGCCGTTAGACAAGAGAAATGGCTTAATCATAGCCTGTTAGGCTTTGCACCGCCTGGCCACGTTGGGCTTGTGTCTGGTCCAGCATTTCTCATTTCGTACGACGTTGGCAATCCGTCAGAAGTAACTGAAATCGGTGTGAGCAGCATCACCGCAGGCAACGAGAAAAGCGACGATGCTGGCGGGGAAGCTGACGAAGGGGATGAAGGCAAAGAGGACGAAGAAGATGAGAACGAAGGCGAGCGGAACGAGGCCAAGAGTGGCAAGCCGAAATCCAAAGGAGGCTCAGCCAGAAAAAGAAAGGGCAAGGCGAGGGCCAGGGTCAAGAAGAAGAAGCGCGTACCCAGAACCAAGCGCACAGTTGATGTCGAAAACGCCGACAAAGAGATTGCCTAGAACGAAGATCCTGTGGACAAACCCGACGCAAGAGGCCCATTCAGGAGTTACCGAGATATCGGAGTTCGGGAGATCGATTTCGCCATCAAGTGCTACCTCGTGCAACATAGAAATCCAGTTGATGGAGTCCATTGGGTAGCTGTCCATGGAGGCTGTTCTGGAGACCAGATGCACTCCATCAAGATAAACAACCTGCACGATGAAACGCTGGTAGCTTTGGGAGTTGAAGACATGGTGGAGCAGACAACACTGACGCGTCAAAGGTTCATAGTGAGTTACAGCTTATCCCCTTGTGCGGCAATGTATTCACTTGGGCTTCGATGGCATCTGCAATCCGCCATGCCCTCTGGTGCTCCCTTGGACCTTTCCGGGGAAGACGAAGACCCGGACTATGCTGCTTCTGAGCGCATCTTTGGAGCCATTGTTCGTGTGGATGAAGATGAATCCTCAGAACAGCTTGGTGTCGAGAGACTGGAGCACATGGGCGCCTTCACTCTTGCACAAGTCAACGGTGGGCAAATCCTACCTGGTCATATCAAAGCAGTGAGGGCATATCATGAGGATGCATTCCTCCGTGAATATGAGGATAAGATGTCAGAGCAAGGGTTCAGAGAGTACTGGGAGGGCATGAAGGCCGATGGTTTCATCAATCCAGATTTACCGTCACCTTACGACCTCGAGGAGAAAGGCGACGGGCTCTGGACGTGTTCACAAAAGGTCAGAACCGTTATGCAAATGAGGCGACTTTTGGACGAGGAGAGAAAACAGCGGCAATAGGGCGTGTTGGATGTGTATGTACAGCGATAGAAATAGCGGTCATTTCAAATGCGCGATTCCAGTTGAGAATCATTCATGGACATTGTGGTGATTCAAAACTCGATGTTAGCAAGGGAGACTTGAGAAAAACCTTTTCTCCCCATTGTGTCGCTTGGAGGAGATTAAGAGGCATGGCCAACTGCTTGAACCCTAGCCAATGTTTACGTGATCAAGTAAAGGGTCTGGCCCGGACTTGTCGCATGGTAATAGCTCTAGCGGTAGTGATAGAGGGTGTGGGGCAAAGCCGATGAAGTGCGGAAACTAAAGAGGCCCAAGGCGAATCTAAATTTGGAGAGCAACGCGGGGGTGACACCTCCATGGCTTGTGGGCAAGCTAAACAACGTGGAGACAATAGAAGAGGCTGGGCTGTCCCTTTGTTACGTGGACAGACCGCAGAAGCGGAGCTACGGCAAGTCTTCGTCCTTGGTATTGGTGATCCTTGATGGATGGCCTGGTCATTGTATTCAAATTGGGAGTTGTGCCATGTTTCGGGAGTGACTCTAGGTCAGTAAATCAAGAACTATGAGGCCGGTTTGTGCATTATTTGGAGAATGAACGAGATTCTAGGCTCACAAGCGGCCTTGCGTATCGGTGTTTTCGGAGACGGGTCTACTTAGAACTTTCTGAGGAACAGAAATGGAAGTGAAGGCACAACACCGAATGGTTGTGATTTAAGAGATCAAGTGGTCCTTAGTGCTTGCGACAGGAGAAATTTGATACACAGGTCAAAAGGGGCTTGTCTCCTGCTCGAGGGAGAAGTTTAGACAAGATATTGATTTCGTCGTATAAATAATATGACCCATGAACGTGGACTTCTGTTGTATATCCTGGCGAGCTGTATTGTTGGTATGCACACTCGAACCGCTCAAGACCGCTGCACGTCGTGGATTGAGAAGCCCGGTATGAATCACGACTTCGTACGAGCTTACGTGCAGTTACAATTGCATCCAGATGTCATGGAACCAGATCATCGATCTCGTATGAGTCAATTCTAGCTATTGGCCCCGAGCTTTTCTTTCAGGACTTTCTTAGCATGATTTCTGAACTAAACAGTCGATGATTTATTTCTCAAAACTTCTCATAGAACATCTTCTCACACATTGGGCCCACCACCAAGTCGGCGTGCCCGTTGTTGGTCCTACTCACTCAAAGACAAGCTTCTGTCTTTCGCGGTGCGCGTCAAAACGCCAAACTCAACCGCAGCGATCTCGGTGCTTCGGACATGACTGCAATATATTTTATAGCTTCATTCTCGGTTTTGGTATCCGCGAAAAGCATTAGATGTGGCTCATCCGTGCCGGCACCGAAGACGGAGCGGAAAGTGGGTGCGGACCGAAAGCACTAAAGCAACCGATTCCGCCCCCTTTCTCTCGCTTCAACCCCACCTCCCACTCTCCGCTGGGCTGAGAGAGAAAGAGATCGACAACAAACACAAAGTTGCCAAAGAGAACGGCTTCTGGAATAACATTCCGGAGGCTAAGACCCCTTTCTAAATTGTGGGACATCTTTCCGAGGCCCAAAAACTCGGTAGGGGGCGGCAAGTTCCCGCGCTAAAATCAACTCCGATTCATGAACCGGAGCCATATCGAGAGTTCATCCCACTCTAAATAGCCTTGTGGGGGTGATGCGAGCCAATCATCAGAGTCGTTCGTTTTCCAGTTACAACATCCCCTGCCCAAGCCTCCTCCGCCGCGCTTGTTTTTCGAGATGGTCCTTAATGATGAACGCAGGGAAGCATGACGATTGTAAATGAGGCTCAGAGGTGCGCTACCTTACGCGGCTCGGAGTACGCGTCGTGCTCACCGGTGAGTGCAGAGAACCGTGGATGATGTTGACAAGACTTTTCACGAGATGGATGATGATTATATATACCGAGCTGGTCATGGCCTCAATATCGTGAATTCTGTTTCGAAGCATCGCAGCTTACGACAACATCCGATCGCTACCAACCTTCGCTCAAGATACCCAACATGAAGTTCCAATACTCATCGCTGCTGATGGCAGCTTCGGCAGCAGTCGCCCAGACCACTACCCCGGCCCCGACCGCAACCGCCGGCTTCGGCACCATGCCCTCCGTCACTCTCGACTACTGCACGGTGGTCGCCACCGCCGGCAACGAGTCCGTCGGATACTACAAGTACCAGAACATCCGCTTCGCAGCCGTCCCGACCGGCGACCTCCGCTGGGCCAAGCCCCAGGACCCTCCCGTCGAGACTGAGGTCAACACCGGCGACTTGGCTTCCGCCGACGTTGCTTGCAGCTCCGAGGAGGACTGCTTGTACATGGATGTCTGGGCCCCTGCCAACTCCGAGGGCAAGAACCTGCCCGTGATGGTCTGGACGTACGGCGGAGGCTTCACCGGTGGGAGCAAGTCCGAGAACACCCCCGAAGGTCTCTTCGATCTGTCCCAGGACTTCGTTTACGTTGCCTACAACTACCGTCTCGGTATGACTGGCCTGGCCAACGGTCCCACCTTCTTGCACGAGGGCGGTACCTCCAACACCGCCATCTGGGATGTCGAGCACGCCTTCAAGTGGACCAAGAGGTACATCTCCCAGTTCGGCGGTAACCCCGATGAGATCACTGCAGTTGGTTTCTCCGCCGGCGCCTCCCAGGTCCTCTTCCAGATGACCCGCTTCGCCGGCCACGCCGAGCAGCTCTACAGCCGCGCCTACGTCATGTCCCCCGGCTTCGTCCCCGGCGCCGGCCACAAACACGCCGACGCCTTCTGGCTGAACGTCTCCTCCGAGGCCGGCTGCGCGGGCGGCAGCATCGAGTGCATGCGCGGCGTCGACTTCGACACCCTCAACACCGCCGCCACCAACGTCCAGGACGCCTACACCTACCAGTTCCAGCCCCGCGTCGACGGCGACATCATCGCCGACACGTACGAGGCCCAGCTCTACCAGGGCCGCTTCAACTTCTCCGGCCCCGTCGTCGCCACCCACGAGCTGCACGAGGCCAACTCTCAGTCCTACTCGGGCGTCAACACCACCGAGGACGTCGCGACCTACCTGCGCATCTTCTTCCCCGCCATCGCCGACTCCGTCGTCGACGAGATCCTCGCGCTGTACCCCGAGGACGACTACACCGAGCCCGGCCTGCGCTTCGCCGACATGAAGCAGCACTTCGACCTGACGGCCCACAACCTCGCCCTCACCCACGCCATGAACAACCAGACCTGGAACGGCCTCGTCGCGCTTGACCAGGCTACCCACGGCACTGACCAGAGCTACTACTGGTACAGCACCTACACTCTGTCTGACTCCTCCGACAGCACCACGACCACGGCCACGGCCGCCTCCAACGCGACTGCTACGTCTGCCGCTGCGTCTGCGACCGCCTCCTCCAGTGCCGGCGGCCCTCCCAGCGGTGGTGGCATGGGCGGCAGCACCTCTGTCAACGCCACCATCGCCGTCATGATGCAGAAGTACCTCATGTCCTTCGTGCTTACCGGCAACCCCAACACGATGTGGGCCGAGGACAAGCTCGAGTGGCCCCAGTACGGCAACGACACCACTGCCGGTACTCAGATTGTCTTCAACACCACCTTCTACCTCGATGAGGATGACCTTGCCAACGACAAGGCCCTCTTCTGGAACAAGGCCACCTGGTACTGAGCGTGAGTCGGTGTTCCTATCTGCTTGTATTTTTCATGTTAAATATTGAGAACGCACACGTACATGTAACATACCCCTATAGACAGTTTTAGTACGCGAAGTACAACTCATTTCTTGCAATAAATCCGCTAGTTCCGGTTACGAATGTGATGATGTGATGTGACGCCTAAACTTGGCGCCTGGGGTCGAAAAGAAACGTGGTATCATAAATTAGTCTAACCCATTCGCTGCTTCCTCCTCACCCAAACCTCCTTCTCCGGGGTCTCGGGGCTTCCGTCATCTACATTGACCGTAGCCGCAGAGCCTGTTGCATCGCGCAGCTGCACCTCCCAGACTCCCAATTTGTACCTCGCCCGGTCTGACATTCCTGTCGTGAGGTCAAAGGACCAGCTGTGCTTCGGACACGTCACCCCAGTGCTGAGCACGATCCCAAAATCCTCAATATCAAACGGAACACCTTGAGATAGAGGATATGATGAATGAGGACATTTCTGTCAATCATGTTAGTCCGGCAGAACCACAGCATCACACCGTCCAACTCACATGATCAATCGCGTGAAACTTCCCCTTGAACCGGAACACCATCACCTGGTCCTTCAAGTCGCCCTCCATCTCAGCACTCTCAAACGCATCGGGCGAGATGTCCACTTCCGTGCTCTGCTGCACCGAGCCGGTCGCTTTCGGCGCGTGGAACACCTTGCATCCCGGCTTCAGGTCGGTGTTGCAGAAGCGAAGATCTGATAGGTTGCCGTCGTCGGAGCCGAGATCGGGAAATGAGCAGGCGAGGCCGACCGAGAACCAACCTGCGTCTGCCCGAGACCGCCTGAGATTGTTCATCTCGGGAGCGCGCTGCGGTGTGTGGTCTCGGCGCGTCTCTTTTGCGCGACTTGTTCCCGACGAATGCGTGGACCGGACCGCTGTGAGCTCCTGAACGCCGCCGGATTGAGCGTAAAATTGCGACCGCAGAATGATGTTCATCACGTGGTCAGTCACATGACATGATTGATGCACTTGGAGACCGAATCGCTTTCTTTCACATTCTCAAGAGTGATGTAACGTTTACTCCATCATGAAGACTTTGAGACTATTTGACTATTTAATCTTCTTCAGCCCTGTACAGACATGTTCCTGTTGCTGAATGTTGAAATCCTTCAGCGCTTCTTCAAACTTCGCTCTTTTGTCTCCACCGATCGCCGCCTTCACGCTTTCCTCGCTATCCCATCCGGTCACAACCATGAATGCCTTTTTCTTCTCGCCCTTGTAGACAACTTCTCCTACAGACCATCCATGCACGCCGGCTAAGAAACCAGCTGTGACACCACCCGAACTTGCCTGGGCACGCATCAGCGACTGCCACTTCTCCTCGAACGCCGCGGTGTCGGCGTCAACTGGCAGATACGACCCAGTCAGAAGCATAACATTTGATGCAGCGACTTTCGCGAAGTCCCCGCCACCCAAGTTGAAATATCCTGTCCAGGGTAGTACAGGGCCTGAAGGGCTGGACATCTCAATGACTTGACCCCACAATTTCCTCATCTCCAGACCATCTGGGGATCGTTTCGCGGCATCTGCAGCTTCGACGGAAGTCCAGACTGATTAGAGTTAGCCGCTAAGACTCATCGCAATATTGAGCATCTCATCCTACCTGCAGCCAAGTGGACGCTCTTGACCGAGCTACCATCCAGTCCTCCGGGACCCTGGACGCCTTCCCATTGGCCTACGAGATCGGAGTTGCCGATGACCTTCGAGTGCAGTTCCTTGATAGACTTGGTGGCGGGAGAATCCTCGTAATCCTGTTTGACAGGGATCCACCCGAGCTCGACGATTTGAGTCATTGTGGTTGATAGTGCTCTCCGATTCCTGAATTGCTAAGGCAGGTGAAAATGTTTGATTGATAAACAATGTGGGAGCAACACGCGCTTATCAATGGGCACGAGGTGTTCCAAGAAGTTCAGAGTTAGACACTTTGGCTCTAAACGCTTTCACGACGACGTAATTTGTCCCGGCGGAAACGGTCAACCCAGTGTTCAATCATGCCTTGAATTCTTGGTCGGAGCTGCCAAGTCTCCGTTCTACTGCCGTAGGCCGGCAGAAACTCATGTTGCTATCATTTGAGCGCCGACTGCCGGGAACAATGGAACAGAGCCCTGCGTTTGCGGCCATGTACGGCACCCCGCCCTACTAAACTAGGAGCTCCGGCGGACATCGGCATCCATGGGGCTGAACGTCGATCAAGCTTGACAGGTTCCATGGGGCTCTTGACTCAAGTATCTCATTGTAGGGCTTGGCGTGCAAAGGCACTCCCCAGATGTGTTACGTGCATAATTAGAATTGGAGCGTGCGGTTACTGACAAGCATCAGGGGCGAAGGTCGCATTGTCAGTTCCGCAGGTCTCGAACCTTGAGAGCGCGGGCTGTGTTTTTAATCGAGATCGCAAAACACATACTTGGCTTACGGCTTTGATTCTCAGAATAACACACTACCGAATTTATTGCCGGAATCAAAAGTTAACCTTCAAGCCGTGGAAGTGTAGTCGTGTCAATCTCATTCGGAACACGCTTTTCGACACTGTCTCGTCCACGATGATTACAATGAAAATCTTAAGATCCATTATTTGATAAAATGGATTGTAATGAAGCTTATCTATTAGTATGTCAACGTACATTTGCATTCGGAATTTTGAATGTTCGGTTTGTAGCATGGATACCGGCCGTGGAAGCCCACAAATTGTTATCGGATCAGTCTCAATACAAACCCCCAATGATATAGAAGGCTTCAGGAATAGTCAAACATCTCCTTTTCTACGAACTGGAAACATGTTGATCCTTTGTCACAGCTGCCTTCTGATGGCTCGGAACTCAATCGGCTTCCGCAAGTCAGGTGTCCATCCCATACCGCCCCTCTGAGGCTTCATCACCTCCTTAACTCCACCAGGCATCCGGATGTCGTAGCGCAAAAGCATACGCGCCAAAATCAATTTGATTTCATTGTTGGCGAAGTAGCGGCCAGGGCAGACATGAGCTCCATAGCCCCACGCCAGATTTTCCTTGGTCGCATGGCTGAATGTGTACTGCTCCTTGTTCTTGTAGTGATTGGGGTCCGGAGTCTCTCCTCTGCGAAGCTTGAGAAAGCGATACGGATCGAACTCTTGTGGGTTGGGGAAGAGGATCGGGTCGAACAAGGGGGGCGCAAAGATGGCTTCTACCGTGATGCCTTGGGGGATGAGGGTGCCGTCTTTGAGGGTAATATCCCTCTCAACAACACGGTGGAAATGGGAAGGTGTTGTGGGATTGAGTCGCTGAGCCTCTTTCATGACACTGTCGAGGAGCTTCAACTCATGCAGGGCAATAGGACTCAGCTGTCCGTCGAACTGGTCGCAAACCCTCTGTGCTTCTTCGCGAAGCTCCTCGACTAGCTCTGGGCGAATCGCCAACTGGAACAAGGTTTGAGCAATCGTCGAAGACGTATTGTGAGTCGAGGCAACACCGAGTTGAACCATCGAGCCGGCTACATCGTCGTCGGTCTGCTTCCACTCCTCTTGCTTCGCCATCATCCAGGCCAGCATATCGTCGTACGAAGCACGGCCAGCCTGGACCTCTTCACGTCGCTGTTGAATGATTGGTACCACAAGCCTTTTTGAGGCTTTCAGATGGTTCCATGACTTGGCTAGTTGGGTTCGCTCGCGCTTGAAGAAGCGGGCAATTGGACGCATCCAACCTGGATACATCTGAAGCATGTGTACAGCAGCCAGGACATTTTCTGTGAAGTGAACTGCACATTTTGTAAGCTTTGGTACGTGAGAAAATCAGAGGGAAAACCTACTGCTATCATGGATGAACTGTTCGTTCCGGCATACGTCTGGCCCGACGTAGACAGAACCGGAGACGATGGCAACGATCCGGAGTGAGGTCCGATAGATCGGGTGGGAGGTCCATTCTTCGCATGGGCCAATGACCTCATCGACTGTCTTCTCAACCTCGGAGACCAGATGATGGTTGATGCGTTCTGCGGCAAGTTAGTCATTCTGGTCGGTTGGCCATTGAGGCATCGGACATACTGAGATTTCTAGTTAGGTCTGAGCGGATGCAGTGCACCAGAAAGGGGTTGCCGGATGGCAAACCCGTGTACTGTCTGAGTACCCTCTGTACAAAAGTGGCATATTAGTATTGCGTCTGATTGAGATCTCACAGTGCACTTTGACTCGTGATCTTACCTGATCATATGCTTTATTTTTATTGAGGACAGCTTCCGACATATTCCAGAGCTCGTCCAGCGCCGCTCCTGGGAGAACAATCCGTTCACCTGTGATTATGGTTAGGGACTTAACGTTGAACACGCAAACAGAGATAGCTGACCTTCATAGTGTGTCACGCGAAAACACTTGTTCTTGCACCTCTGATAACCTTCCCAATAGAATCTCATGGGATCCCTCAAGAACTCGTTGCGGCGTTTATAGTAGCCCCCAAGCTCTTCTCCCATCAAAGGAATCTGCTTGAGTCTTTGTCTGACACGCAGCCGAGGGTAGATGTATGAAGCAGAAAAGATGACGGTGATGAACAGAAGCAGAGCACCGCGCTCGTGCAGAGTAGAAATGAACATCTCTTTGGCTGGAGACATGTTGATAAGTTGGAGGCTAAGGTCCCGCTTGGCAAATTGGTATTTTGAAGTTGATCACGAAAATCACCCATGGAGCGGTGCAAGTAGCGTCACTGTAACTATATGTGAACGATGTGGAGATGAACCTCTCTGCATCGCCTCAAAGGCCTGGTCAAGATTACGCCACGCCGTTTCTGGGCAAAATAACTGGTGCCGAGCGCCCAGTCTTGGCGGCAGCCCCGACATTTTGGGAACCGCCGTGCGGCCATCAATGGTGGGGACCGGAGCCGGGACTTATCGATCAGGTACCCCGGTTCACATGCCAAGGATCGCGAGAACGAGGAGGGGCGGGTTGAGGTCGTCGGAGACGCGTGGGTTTGTCTGAAGTGTTACCCGCTCGCAGCAGGCAACCCATTCGCTCAGGGTTTCATGAATCAAGAAGCTCTTCTGCCCGCACCGGCGACTTTTAGGGTGGGTAGAATATCGGAACGAGGACGTGCACAAGTTTTACGGGCTGAACTACCTCGATAATGTCATTCTGGATATGTGCATCGAGGCGCGATGGTCCCCGGTGCTATTTACGGCGATTGATATTCTGCCTTGGCATGGCCACACCCAAAGTTTGACGTGAGCAGGGTAAGCTGGACAATAGGCTGATCACTTGTCGGTGACGGCGATGCTATCCTTGGACCTTTGTGTAAGATCTGCGCCTAGAATATAGTGATGTTGCCAACAATTTTGTCTGGCACGTTACATCGACAACAATCGTGCTGTCCAAACATTCTTTATATTCCAGACTTTGAGAGTTATCGAGAAGAATGAGTAAAGTCATCGACATGGCATCGCTTACGCAGCAAGATCGCGATGCCCAGCGCAGGTCGCCCTACGAGAACTTGCAGTCTCCCGTGGAGTCTGTCAACAGCCTTGCCTTCGAGAAAGCAAACAGCGACCCGTCGGTCGTCGATTGGGAAGGACCAAAAGATGTTTTGAATCCCCAAAACTGGGGACCGCGAACGAAGCTTGCCCACGTTCTCCTCGTCAGCTCGTTCACGCTGTACTCGTATGTCAATCTCTCATATCATGATTAACAGGGTAACATGTCAGAAGTCTAATCCAAATATGTTTCCAGAAACTTAGCAGCTGTCATGTTCGCGCCTGGAGCTCAGTACCTTGTCAAAGAGTTCGAAATCACCAGCTCTATGGTTGCATCCTTGACTGTCTCCATCTACGTCTTGGGGTACTGCGTAGGCCCGTTTCTTATTGCCCCTTTATCAGAGATCTATGGAAGACTTGCCGTCTACCACATCTGCAACGTAACATATGAAGCTTTTACAATTGGATGCGCTCTAAGCACAAACGCTTCCATGTTCCTCGCCTTCAGGTTTCTGGCTGGCTGTGCCGGTGCAGCGCCGATGGCTGTTGGAGGAGGCACCATTGCCGACATGTACAAGGCAGATGAGCGCGGCAAGGCAATGGCGGTGTTCAGTCTTGGTCCTCTGCTCGGTCCAGTTGTTGGCCCTGTCGTGGGAGGCGCCCTTACGCAGTACAGTGGTTGGCGATGGACATTCTGGGTGGTCTTCATCTTGGTAGGTCTCACAAACTCCTCTGCTGCGCGTCGAAGTTATATCTGACGAAAGCTTGCAGGCTGGTGTAGTCTCTCTGATTGGTGTCGTCATCATGCGCGAAACCTTCGAACCCATTCTACTCGAACGAAAGGCTGCATACTTGCGCAAGACCACCGGCAACGATCGCCTACGAGCTCGAACTGCGAAGAACATCACACAAGGACAGTTGCTCTGGAGAGCTATCGCGCGCCCGACCAAGATGCTTATGTTCTCGCCCATCATTTCTCTCATTTCTCTTTACTGCGCCTTCATGTTCGGTCTCACGTACCTTCTTTACACAACCTTCCCCGCTGTGTTCCAGGTGAAGTACGGCTGGGGCCCTTCTCAAGCTGGACTAGCATACCTAGGCCTGGCAATTGGAATGATATTTGGAGTCGGACTAGTTGGCGCAGTAAGCGACAAGCAAGTCAAGGCGGCCAAAGCTACCGGAGTGCCAGCGCGGCCCGAAATTCGCCTCCTGCTGTCGGTCTGGATGGCTCCTGTCGTCTCAATCGGGTTCTTCTGGTACGGTTGGAGTGCTGCAGGTGATACGCACTGGATCGTTCCAGTTCTCGGCACATTTGTTATTGGCTTTGGCTCCTTCATCATTCTTATGCCGTCTCAGATTTATCTCGTGGATGCATTTGGTGCCGAGGCGTCTGCATCGGCCTTGGCCGCGAATACGTTCATGAGAAGTCTGTTCGGAGCATTTCTACCTCTTGCTGGGCCGCCTCTGTACAAAGGGTTGGGACTTGGATGGGGAAATAGCCTGCTTGCCTTCATCGGGATTGCGTTTGTTCCTGTGCCATTCTTGTTTTACAAGTATGGCGAACGTCTCAGAGCTCGGTTCCCGGTGGACTTTTAGGGACGGATCAGATATAGGGGAAACGCAATTTGTGACCGCAAACATTCCATTCACTTGGCGTCTTCAATTCTGTATATCTATTAAGAATTGAGCATTAACTTATTGCGCGTACACAATCAATGTCACCGCACATGTTGCTACGTAGTGGAATTGCTGCCAAGAAATCGAGTCATCTGAAAGTTGTGAATACAGGGAAGAAAGATTTTAAGTAATGAATAAGAATACCGTTCGCTGTTCAACCGCCCGGCCATTGCCGCTGAAGCCTCTGATACATATTGCATTCAGAATTCAATTTTCTTCATCTTTGCCAGGAGATTGTGACCAGATAGACTGCCCTTCTCCGCGCCGAATCGTCTGTCCCATTTAATTTCGGCTTCATGTTTCGCCGCCTTACCAGGTTTGATCCCTGCAACAGCACCGCAACAAAGAGCAGCCAGGGCGCATCCTACAGCGACTGTGACCAGCAAAGGAGGACAGCAAACAGCTACGGGCGCGGCGAGAAGCCCACTCAGCGCTCTGCAGGTAGCCATATGCTTAGCAGCCGCAGGTGCGCCTGCTGCGGCTGCTCGAGATATCGAGTAGACCTTTCGGCGCCAGTTGCCATGAAGGTTTTGTTGTCGGTTTGCGGCTTTGGCGTCACCGTCGGTCGCGCTAATATTACTGATTTTCGCAACATTGTATAAGAAGTCCCGCTGAACTGATGAAATGTTCCTTATGTTGACGTGGACGTAGGGGTTACCACTTTGGTGAATTTCTCCTCTAATGCGAATAGGAAACAAGGCCGATGGGATTTCGATCTCATCCGGTACAACGAAGAAATGGACAGCTGGGACCAAAATGTTGATCGTAGGGTCTGGTCCCACAACCAGCCTGAACTTTTCCAGGAAGACTGACATCGCCCCAATACTGTGAAATGTGCCACAGAACTTGGGAATTGGATATTCTTTCAACAGGCGGTTGAAGGCCGGGTACCAGTCGGTGCCAGGATGATATACGAAGAAGTACTCGTCTTCACCAGCTTCGGAATTCTCGTCATAGCAGGAGGCGATGAAGTCGTGAACGTGCTGAGGAAAGCTGTGGCTTTTTTTGGTTTTGGTGATTGTTGAGCGAATCAACTCCGTTGGAGATTTGCTCCACGTTCTTCTGGATCTGGCCACCCAGCTTGACGAGCTCGCCATGTGCCTGGCCCCCGGAAAGTGTTTTGACGGCCTTGAATAACGAATCAGAGCACGCATTGAAAGACAATGTCTTGGCAATCACCGGTGGTGTTCAATACAAGCTTTGCCGGGTCTTGTAGATCAGTGAGTTTAGCGTGGAGTTCTTTGCTTTGCTTCGCAAAGGCATTGATGGTGTTAGCCGAAGTGGAGACAAGAGAGATAACGTTGCCCATGTTGATGAGATTAGTTGATTTGAAAGCTTGAGCGAGAGCCAGGTGTAGTGAATGATCAAATATTGTATAGGGTATGATGAATGATCAGATCGAATGTTGTAGCTGTGGTAGCGGATGTGGTTGAGTGCTTAGGCGTCGAGATGGAATGTTTACCGATGAATATATATTCAATTGTCATGGGCTTGTGAGAAGTCATTCAATGGTTGAGCAGAAGCCATCGTTGCGAGCGAACCTGTTTGGCGCTCCGCCCACGGTCTATCCCGTCGAGTCATCGACTACGGTATCAAAACTCTTTGTAAGATAGCAAGTCTCCCAAAGCGTCAATGGGAACTCACTTTTGCATGTGCTGCCTTGGAGATGGCCCTGTGTTGACGGATCAGTCAGCGAGAATTGACTGCGGAGAAGTATCTCTCAATTTCGCACTTCTACTCAGATGTCATGTCTTGACAGGTTTCTGCAGTCAAGGACAGGAAACGCTAGTTGGTAAATTAAACTAAGATACTTTTGGTTTAGAGGACTTGTCACCTCAGCCCAGAGGCTTCCAGCCTCCCAAAAAGACAACCGTCTAGAATTGAAACGGTAAGAATCGGCCGTTTATGGTTAGGACATCTGCCAATTGGGAGTCAAGGCACAAGCAGCGGTCCCGAAAATGACGTAGGTGTAAAATTTAAAGCTTTTGAGCTTACATTAAGTTTACACTGCCAGCAGCGGCGATGCCAACTCAGGAAGTCCGCCTCAGCCCTCCGGCCGCATACTTGGCAACGGCCACACAGATGATGCCTCGGCGACATTTTTTGTTCCAACGGTTCATGATAAAGACATCCCTAGAAGAAAAGCTCGAGTTTCCCCAACACCAGTCAATTATTACGCGAACGGAAGTCCCGGCGATGATCAACTGCAATTCTAGGCCTTGAAGCAGTATCTTGAACACATGTACTTGATTTCTTGATGCCTGGCCTAGAAGCATGACGCGTATCTCTGGCAATTTCACTTGCACAGCCGTATATCTGAGTCGAAACTAATTGCTAATGGCGTCTTCTCCGAATGGAGATCTTTGCCTTTGGGTCAGCTACAAGCGACCACATGAAGGTGCGCGTCTGCGGCACGGTGCCTTCACTGAGCTTCCAGTCGTAGTTCAAGACAAAATGGCACAGAGCTACCTTCACCTCATGCGCCCCGAAGAAACGGCCAGGGCATGCGTGCGTTCCAATGCCGAACCCCATGTGGTCGGGGGAGGTCGATGAGACTAGCTGAGACCGGTGCTCCATTCCGGGCACCTGGCGTAGATTGTAGAAACGCCAGCCATCCCATTTGAGCGGGTCTTTGTAGATCTTCTCGTCCCAGTGCAGATGGGACGATACAGCAATGGACGTTCCTTCGGCAAGACGGAGTCCATCAGATAGCGTAACGTCCGTGTTCAGGATTCCCCGCAGGCCGCTAATGGCCGCTGGTTTCATTCTCTGACACTCCTTCAGCACACTGTCGAGGAGCTTCATCCTGTGTAGTGCTGCCTTGGTCCATCCGCCTTCTTCGCTGAGCACTGTCTCAATCTCTTCACGCAGAGGATCAAGCATCTCAGGATGAGCTGCAAGATCGAGAATAACTTGAGTAAGAAGGTCTGTGGTGGTGTGCATAGCGGCCATGGAAAACAAAAGTTGAACGGCAGATGCATCATAGGGCATGCCTTTCGCAGCCTTTTCGGCCCACTCGACAGTGTCATCAAACACGACGTTCGGGTCTTCTGCCTTGGCTCGGCGTCTTCGCTCAACCATTGGCTCGAACAATCGGCGAGCCAGGCGGACCTGAGTGCGTGCTTCGCGACAAGACGGGAGCACCCAGTGCACCAAAGGACGAAGTGCCCGTGGCCACAGTCGGAGCATGACTGCTGCACGATTGACTGTTCCAGCGTACGTGGTGGTGATTTTGAGCCAATCCTCATTTTGATACAATGGATCGCCGCCGAGAAAAGCCTTTGACGATATTCGTGAAATAAGATCCAGGAGCGACGATCTAAGTTCGACATCGTGGTATTCTTGGAGTGCATGTTAGTCGTGATTTATGAATCTGGAGAGACTCGAGATAAACTACCTTCATTGTCTGTGAATATTCTCTGCATAGAGGCCGTGCATTCAGACGATAGTGAGTCGGTGATCTTGCCTGATTCAACTGTTATTACATTTTCAACCAACGCGCTTCAATGCGTCTTACTCAAGTGATGTGTTAATTGGCTTTTAGTTACTTCTCGCAGTATCTTTGCGTCCCGAGCACCTTGCTGGGTAAAGTCAAAGCCCGGTATCCCCTCGTGGAAGTCCTTTTCTCTGTGATCAGACCAGCACAGCGAATTCGGATCTCAGGAATAGCACTCTTTACCTGTAGAAACAGCTTCACAAAGTCGACTCTATGGTCGTTTTTCAGCTCAGCCGCATATTTTGGCGCGAGCATCACGATTTCACCACCGTCAGCAACCATCCGGAAGCCGGCACTGTCAGGGAAGTCCGCAAATCCCTGGAGAACCATGTCTCTAGCTCCCATGAGAAACCTGTATTTGGCCTTCATTCGAAAAATATCGAAAGATCCAGGTTGATTTACCCATGGTAGAGGAGTGCATTTGGATGATTTCTTAAAGTAGGAAAAGAGTGCAAATAGGATTGCAATGATTGTTGATGCCAGGACGTAGCCTCTCGATAGCTCATAATTGTCTCTACCCACATGCGTTGAGCTGTTGCTTTGGGCATGATGGTTGTCCAGATGGTTGATTGTGGCCTCCATGTTGAGTATGGCCGTCCGAATAGTTGCGAGAACACGCGCAGCTGCGAAAAGACTATCTGGCCAAGTTTCTCGAACCCGAGGATCGCGCGATCGGTCATCACTTGCGCCATCATTATCATTGCAATCCGTCTTCGAGATGAGGTAGTTCTCGTTCTCGTTATTTGCGGTCCCCGATATAACGATGAGTTCCAACACAGGGGTCCCTGGGAACCAGGATCGCCGACGGACCCCCAGCGCCGGTGCGGGCTGCGGGGTGTGCGGTTAAGACCCCACCTCCATGCCGGTGCCTTTGTCTCATGCCTTTCTTTGGGGCGGGCGTAGCAACGAGACGCTGTGTCTGTTGCAAAAGGCCTTCTGGTTCCTCAGGGCCAAGGCTGGGCGAAAACATACTGCGTACACATGCCAAGGCAGATATTTCGGCAAAAGATGGCTACGTGACGCATCAACTGAAAGTTCCCGGCACCAGAATTAGACCCCTCGTTCTCGTCTTGGCGCTTCGAAGCCATACCAATTTGCAACGCCTCGAGCCGTCTCAAGTTCTAGCTGTCAGAATTCCAAGTCCGTAGCTTTGGGGCTATGAGCGTACGCCTTGGCGGTTCATGACTTTTGCATTTCGTCTGGACTGATTTGCTGGAAAGCAAAAGACTATGTGCTCGGGAAGTTGGCGGGATGACATGCAGTGGTTTGAAGTTTCTAACGCTGTTCTACGCCATGAATTTTTTAGCGACTTAGTCTCTCGTTGATATCATGGCTGAGGTTAAAGTTTGGATAACGGTCGTCTGTATCGGTCTCGGCTGTACAGTTTCGGTACGGGGTGTACCAATTTGGCAAATTTCCGCCGACTGCCCACTTGTAAATAACAACATAGACTTTAGTCATCTGTGGTAGAACTCTTCCAACAGCTTTGAACAGGGATTGACTTTGGCCCGGACCTAACGACTATTAGTTCTAGGTGTGGAGCGACACAAGTATAGTCACAACATCAACTACCTCTGCCACCACGATAAAATGAATACGAGCTGATCGCAATTTTACACAAATCTCATGCATTCAAAACACGTAGTATTGCATTGAAAGTTCAATCCGCTAAACTCCTGGCGCAAACCTCACCCGACACGGGTAGCCATCCGCCGGATGACTTCCTCCACCTCCAGTAGTCTGATACACGCGATCGCCGTTGACATGCTTTGGCGCACTGCCTGGAAGCAAGACTCCCAACCCAATCTTGTTCTCCCCCACCGCCTGCTTGGACTGCGACGCCTCCCATTCCTGATAAGCAGGCGTGAAATCAAATTCTCGAGCAACAAGCATGATCACAGCCTTGATCTCGACCATTGCAAGCTCCGAGCCCATGCATGCCCGAGGTCCTTTCTCGAACTAGAACATGTGAATGTTAGTTTGGTTCTGTGAAATAACGAGAAAGTTTCAGCACTTACCGGACGCCACGCATCCTGGAGTGGATGTAAGCCCGAAGAGTCACCCGGGGCTGTGAGAAAACGCTCAGGAAGAAACGTATCGGCCTCTTTCCAGTATCTAGGGTTGTGATGCAGGCCGTGGTGATTGCCAAAAACAATGCACCCTTCTGTGGGGTATCTAACAGTAGAGCCGGGAGTTTCTCGATCATAGAGGTCAAACCCCGGCTTTCCGTTCCGAAGGGTTGACGTTGGTGGGTACATGCGCAAGGTCTCCTTGACCACCGCTGTAGTGTATGGAACACGGTTGACGAGGTGCGGGTTTTCTTTGAGCTGCTGGGCGGCGCGGGACACATTCAAGCCTAACACCTCGTCATGCTCTTGCCGTACTCGGGCCAGGACCTCGGGGTGCTGGCATAAGATATGCAGGACATATGTGATGGTTGAACCCGTGGTGTCGTAGCCTGCTAAAAGAAGAAACCTCATTTGGCTCTTAATGACTTTGTTGAAATGAGCCTCGCCTCCGAGTTCGCGAAATGGGTCTGTAGAGAGCTTTTTGTTAGTGTGTCGAGCGCGAACCTTGGAGATGGCCCGGCTAATCACGCAGTCGTCGTCGTACTTGTTGGTCTTCTGTCTGTGCTGCACGCCGGCGATGTATCTCTCCATTCGAAAGCCGTTATACTTGTGTACCAAAGGCCTAATGAAGTTGAGGCTTGCAAATGGCATGAAGCCTTCGACAAGTAACCACCTAAGCTGTGAAACAATGGCGTCGGCCATGTCGTTGTAGGACCTCTGGGTGTTCATATCGTGGTTCCATAG